CTAAGAAACGGCAAAAAAGCCTATTTCCTGATTTTTCAGCCCTTAAAACAGAGCTCGCACTAAAAAATCAGAACAATTACTCAAAAAGTAAGTATAGGGGTGTTAAGATTCGGTCGTTAGCTGCATAAAACAGTCATTGCTTTACCCATGCAGCTTGTTTTGACTAAGTTAGAGCTAAGAAACGGCAAAAAAGCCTATTTCCTGATTTTTCAGCCCTTAAAACAGAGCTCGCACTAAAAAATCAGAACAATTACTCAAAAAGTAAGTATAGGGGTGTTAAGATTCGGTCGTTAGCTGCATAAAACAGTCATTGTTTTAGCTATGCGGCTTGTTTTGACAAAGTTAGAGCTAAGAAACGGCAACTAGGCCGTGCTCTCTGGTGTCAAAAGACGTAGCATAATTTCGGGCATAAAAAATCAGTTCTTTGGCCATAGCACAGCCAAAAATGGGCCAAATGAGGAATGTAATACCTCGTAGGGCTCGTAACTTAATGGCCATGATTCCCAATTGGTTTGCATTAAAATCTGGGAAACTTCAGTTTAGGCCCATTTTTGAAAATTTTGATGATGGTACCCCTTATCAAAAATGCGAAATTTGGGCCAAAATTGACTCTCCCTAAATCCAAAAACGAGTGATAGGGGTGGTAAGTGTTGGTCGTTAGCAGCACAAAACACTCGTTCTTTTGGCTGTGCGTCTTGTTTTGACCGAGCTAGAGCTAAAAACCGAAAAGAATGTTGCGAATTTCTGTTAGAAATCGGTTTCCTGATATTTTAGACCATAAAAGAGAGCTCGCAGCAATAAATCAGAACAATAACTCAAAAACTAAGTATAAGGGTGTTAAGATTCGGTCGTTAGCTGCATAAAACAGTCATTGCTTAACCCATGCAGCTTGTTTTGACTAAGTTAGAGCTAAGAAACGGCAAAAAAGCCTATTTCCTGATTTTTCAGCCCTTAAAACAGAGCTCGCACTAAAAAATCAGAACAATTACTCAAAAAGTAAGTATAGGGGTGTTAAGATTCGGTCGTTAGCTGCATAAAACAGTCATTGCTTTACCCATGCAGCTTGTTTTGACTAAGTTAGAGCTAAGAAACGGCAAAAAAGCCTATTTCCTGATTTTTCAGCCCTTAAAACAGAGCTCGCACTAAAAAATCAGAACAATTACTCAAAAAGTAAGTATAGGGGTGTTAAGATTCGGTCGTTAGCTGCATAAAACAGTCATTGTTTTAGCTATGCGGCTTGTTTTGACAAAGTTAGAGCTAAGAAACGGCAACTAGGCCGTGCTCTCTGCTGTCAAAAGACGTAGCATAATTTCGGGCATAAAAAATCAGTTCTTTGGCCATAGCACAGCCAAAAATGGGCCAAATGAGGAATGTAATACCTCGTAGGGCTCGTAACTTAATGGCCATGATTCCCAATTGGTTTGCATTAAAATCTGGGAAACTTCAGTTTAGGCCCATTTTTGAAAATTTTGATGATGGTACCCCTTATCAAAAATGCGAAATTTGGGCCAAAATTGACTCTCCCTAAATCGAAAAACGAGTGATAGGGGTGGTAAGTGTTGGTCGTTAGCAGCACAAAACACTCGTTCTTTTGGCTGTGCGTCTTGTTTTGTCCGAGCTAGAGCTAAAAACCGAAAAGAATGTTGCGAATTTCTGTTAGAAATCGGTTTCCTGATATTTTAGACCATAAAAGAGAGCTCGCAGCAATAAATCAGAACAATAACTCAAAAACTAAGTATGGGGGTGTTAAGATTCGGTCGTTAGCTGCATAAAACAGTCATTGCTTTACCCATGCAGCTTGTTTTGACTAAGTTAGAGCTAAGAAACGGCAAAAAAGCCTATTTCCTGATTTTTCAGCCCTTAAAACAGAGCTCGCACTAAAAAATCAGAACAATAACTCAAAAAGTAAGTATAGGGGTGTTAAGATTCGGTCGTTAGCTGCATAAAACAGTCATTGCTTTACCCATGCAGCTTGTTTTGACTAAGTTAGAGCTAAGAAACGGCAAAAAAGCCTATTTCCTGATTTTTCAGCCCTTAAAACAGAGCTCGCACTAAAAAATCAGAACAATTACTCAAAAAGTAAGTATAGGGGTGTTAAGATTCGGTCGTTAGCTGCATAAAACAGTCATTGTTTTAGCTATGCGGCTTGTTTTGACAAAGTTAGAGCTAAGAAACGGCAACTAGGCCGTGCTCTCTGCTGTCAAAAGACGTAGCATAATTTCGGGCATAAAAAATCAGTTCTTTGGCCATAGCACAGCCAAAAATGGTCCAAATGAGGAATGTAATACCTCGTAGGGCTCGTAACTTAATGGCCATGATTCCCAATTGGTTTGCATTCTAATCTGGGAAACTTCATTTTGGGCCCATTTTTGAAAATTTTGATGATGGTACCCCTTATCAAAAATGCGAAATTTGGGCCAAAATTGACTCTCCCTAAATCGAAAAACGAGTGATAGGGGTGGTAAGTGTTGGTCGTTAGCAGCACAAAACACTCGTTCGTTTGGCTGTGCGTCTTGTTTTGACCGAGCTAGAGCTGAAACCGAATGCGAATTTCTGTTAGAAATCGGTTTCCTGATATTTTAGACCATAAAAGAGAGCTCGCAGCAATAAATCAGAAGAATAACTCAAAAACTAAGTATAGGGGTGTTAAGATTCGGTCGTTAGCTGCATAAAACAGTCATTGCTTTACCCATGCTGCTTGTTTTGACAAAGGTAGAGATAAGAAACGGCAAAAAAGCCGGTTTCCTGATTTTTCAGCCCTTAAAACAGAGCTCGCACTTAAAAATCAGAACAATTACGCAAAAAGTAAGTATAGGGGTGTTAAGATTCGGTCGTTAGCTGCATAAAACAGTCATTGCTTTACTCATGCAGCTTGTCTTGACTAAGTTAGAGCTAAGAAACGGCAACTAGGCCGTGCTCTCTGCTGTCAAAAGACGTAGCATAATTTCGGGCATAAAAAATCAGTTCTTTGGCCATAGCACAGCCAAAAATGGGCCAAATGAGGAATGTAATACCTCGTAGGGCTCGTAACTTAATGGCCATGATTTCCAATTGGTTTGCATTCAAATCTGGGAAACTTCATTTTGGGCCCATTTTTGAAAATTTTGATGATGGTACCCCTTATCAAAAATGCGAAATTTGGGCCAAAATTGACTTTCCCAAAATACGATACGATATCCCAAGCTCATGTATTTAATTGGGTCGATCCGAAAATAAGTAGTCACGCCGTCAACTCTATGCGAGCGTTGTTCAAACTAATCAGCTGATCGTTTTAACTTGCTGAACCTTTCTGCTCGCCAGGTATTTTGTGAGTTTCAGTGCAAACTTCGTCAAAACGAGACGCACAGACAAAATAACAGCTGTTCTTACTATTTAAGATGTTCTGATGGTGAAATTCTAATTTTTAGCGGAAATATATTGGAAAATAGTAGGAATTCGAACCTTAGTTTAAAAAAATAGGACCAAAATACTGATTTAAAAATTTTGTATAAGTTTATTCATAGACACTTTTAAGAAAGCTCTTTAATTGTGAGCCTACCTCGACCTCGATAAGCGAATTTTCTAATCATATTTTAAATACTTTCATTTTCAATCAGAGCTGTCTTCTGCCCCGTCCCCTTTCGCCGAGAGCTTGAACCCTTGGCAGCCGTTACGGAACTCAATGGGCCATGACCGACCGCAGCCGTTGGCCAGAATAAAATGAAACAAAATTATGCGGGGCAGAAGGTGAAGTGGCGAAAAAGGGTTGAAGGTACACTGAAAAATACACAAATGTAGCTTTATAATTTAAACTTATTTATTTTATTATTATCAATCTAGTTATGTTAAAAATATATTTTGTCCTACTTTCATAATTTTAATTTTAAAGTGAAATAATAATAGAAAAGAGAAATAATAGAAGTATTATGTGGCTTAAATATTAATAAGCTATTGGAAAACTTCAACAGCCACAAAATAAGTTGTTTAGTATCTGTTTTTTGAAAAATGTTCAGCATAATGATTTTAGTAATTTTATTTTTTGCCAAATTGAACAATTTTTTTTCTCTGTGAACCAGCCGCAGCATCTTCGGTATCAGAAATTGACTTTTAATGAAAACAATTGAAAATTCTCGGTGTCTGAGTCCCAAAATGTTGTTCTATGGGAAAGCCACGGGGTCCCGTCTCAACTGCCGACTGACTGCTCAACTGGCCAACAGGCCAAAACTGGATGCGGTTATTAATTTCAATTAAAGCATTTAACCGGAGAGCCCACAGCCTTTTGTTTACCCAACCAGGCCCCACCCCCTAGCCAACATTAATTAAGGCGAGAAAGTGGCAGAGTTTCTGTGGAATTTCCAGGCCATAGGTGCTGTGTTATTCAACAGACTAATAAAGTTGATTCGAGCGAGATTTTCAGGACCATCAAGCAATGCTCAAAGGAGCCGAGGATCTGCCAGCTTCCTGATAATATCGTATTTCACGAAATCATCAAATTAGGCAGTCAAGAGCAGAGACTGCAGTGCCAACAGCCTTTAAAGCCCGCCAAACAAACGGGCAAATAAACAAACAAATGCAAGCAAAATTCTTTGTGGAGGGGTGGAAAATAGTGGGGTTTGTGAGGAAATTTCAAGAGACCATTTATAGGAAGCAGACAGCAGACGGCGATAAGAGAAAGAGTCTGGTCTGGTCTGGCTTTTCGGTTTCCACTGGCTTGAGCAGCAAAACTAATGCCGGGCACTATATAAAGTACGAACAAAAGTGGGTGTAGTTGATTTTCATGTTTTCGGGTTTTCATTTCGTTTTTAAAAATATGAAATAATAGTAATATTATGTAAACAAGATTAAGAATTTTAAAGAAAATAAAAGAAATTAATAAAAGAAAATATTAATTAGGGATATAATATATATTCTCCTTTAAAATGTAAGCTACTTTCAGTTTAATGTCACAAATGTTTTACTTTATGCAAAGGTTTTCCGCATTCAAGAATCTCCCCCCAGACACCCAGGTGATAACTGTAAAAATTTCCCCTTAATATTTGGCTCAATTTTTCCAGCTCTTCCCCCTTTTGCCTACCGGAAAATAATCGAGAGAAAATTGCGCCGAAAAAACAACCATTTAGCTGTTAACGTTTGCTTTCGGTTGCCCGGCGTTACAAATACTCACCCACATACAAAGATACACTAACACTTACACATTGTAAACTGCTTTATCGATAAGTTTCGTTTGTTGTTTGACGGCAGCACATCAGCGGCTTAGTATACAGGAATAACTAAAGGGGAGTGGTCATCTTTTTTGGAGCTGAAGAATCGTAAAGAAGAACCACCAGCAGCAGCATGGTGAGTAATAAGTTGTTAAATCACATCACCAAAGCAGTGAATTCTTGTAGCCGCTCTGCTTGGCCAGAAGCTTCCGCCTCTTTCCGATATCCATTTCTCTGCTCCCTTCAGTCTCAGTTTTCAGTTTCCCAGTTTCCGACTTCCAGTAGCACTGCAAGCGGCGCATTCAATTTTTCATGCCAAGCCAGGCTGTTGCTGTTGCTGCATATACAAACTGCACTTTACGAGTGGATTGCAGTAAAGACCAGCAAGGATGTCCTGCGATAAAAAAATTATCAATATATTTATTTAAAAAATAGTTTTCTTTAGAATTATATAATGGTATTTAAAGAAATTCACTTTTAGCTATTCGATTTTTATATAAACGCCAACAGAAGAACGTATTTATTAGCCTTAACTTTTTATATTAAAAATTCATTAATTTCAAATATCATTTTAAGAATAAGAGGCCTAAATGTTAATACAAGTTAATGCTTCTGGAAAAATATATTTGGTAATCTACTTTTCCATGTTACTGCATCTCCACTGCGCATTTATTGCAGCCAAGCTGGAGTCCTTTTGGCCCCCTCGACTCGCTTTCTTTCGTTGGTTGTCTATTTTCGATCATTTGTTTATGTATAGACCTGCCCCCAACATATATTCGCCTTTTTTCCATACAATACATATATTTATTTATATATATATTTATATATTTTACGCCTTTGAACATGGCAAAAGCGCGGTCGACGACGGGCGCAGGCGGCTTCAAAAATTTTTGAATAATTTGCAGTCATAAAATATGCAATAAGCCAGCAGCCAACAGCCAACAGCTGTTGCGAAATTGTTTTGAAAGCCGCGCCATCACATTATTTAAAGCGACGATGGCAGTGGCCCGCCTTTCTCCGCCATTTCTCCCACGTGAAGGGAATCGAATTAAACGTTGTTAAAGGATTTAAAGTGCGAAAAATAGTTGCGAGCTGCAGACGACAATTGCGCAATCCCCCATTTTCATTTTCATTCTCCTGCGGGGAAGAACTCATTCAATTTGCATAGACAAATGGTGAAATTCTTTTAGGGCAAGTTCAGCAGGGACTTCAACTTAAGATTCCAACTCAGCTGGGGTCCCTTGCCTTCTATTTTTGATTTTCTATGGATTTATTATAGTTTATGGACTTATAGGTTTATTACAATTATTTTAATATACTAATGTTATATTATTTTTTTACAGCCGCCAAAGGGTAAAAAGGGCAAGAAAGGCAAGAAGTTGCCAGGTAAGTAATGATGCAGAAAATATAACCTATTTTAAGTGTTATTAAGAAAATAAGGAGTCAATGCAACACAATAAGTAATAATAATAATAAAAACTTAACCTATTTTAAGTGTTATTAAGAAAATAAGGAGTCAATGCAACACAATAAGTAATAATAATAATAAAAACTTTAACCAAATAACTCCTTAACATTTTTGCATAGCATGTGGCTCAATATTAGTTAGTTATTCGTCCTGTGCCCTCTTTAAGGACGGCGGCTGTTAAAGCCTCTCCATGAGACAAACGGAACAAGGACGAGGACTGCCTGGCAATTCATTTTCGGAACATTAATGGCAGCAGGGTGCCACTGGGTAGTTGGGTAGGTTTCTGGGCAGCTGGAATGGCGGACATTGGTCATTCAGGGCAATTTAAAAAGGCCAAGCAAAACAATTAGTAAATAACGATAATCTGCGTGAGGAGTGGTAAAAGGAGCAGAATGGGACAGGCGAAGCACTGCGGACAAGAAATTCCCGATGCAATTGCTCTGGCGATGCCTTGCAGCCCAAAAATTAAAAGGGAAAAAATGGGGGGCCAAACTGTCCACTTAATTTCCACGAATGAGCACACTGCATTTTCCCCTGACCCCTGACCTCACTCCACACTCTCGAACATCTAACGCACATAATTGTTTCTATGCATGCACTGGGAAAAATCTTGTTAATGCTCGCAGAGTAGGTATTAAAAACCTAAAAGTTATATTTTCTTAGCTACTTTGGTCTTATTTACAACCTTCTGATTAATGTTTTTTATTTTCTATTTATAGAAATTTAAAAAAATACTTATTATTAAAACAAAACAATTTTATTTTATATTATTTGATAAGCTTGATAGAGAAGACTTACCTTTGCAAGTTTTTCCTATGTGTGGCTTCTAGTTTGAGTCCTAGTGGTCCTGCTAGTTCCAGTAGTCCTTCCTAGTTCGAGTCCTGGCACCAGCCGGCCAGCGATGCCAATTACAGAAAACAATTACAACACGGTCTGCTGCTGGGCCACATATGCGGGCAGTGGCTAAGAAAAGGGGAGCATTGCAGGGGTAAAAATGACTGAAATTGGTGGAAAAAGGGGGCACCAAAGATGGGTAACCAGGCGTGTCGCTCTCATTAAATTGCCATAAAGCCGGGAACCCCAAATATGTGGCCAAAACTTTTCACTTACCCAATTGCCCAAACATTAAAAAATGACAGTCATGAATCTATTAAATAAGTAGCTTTAAAAGGCAAGACATTTAGCAAAATAATCAAGTAATATAATATAATTATGTTTTTATATAAATTTAACTATTTTTAATCTCATCTTTAGTGCTTATCGATGGCGTGGACACATCGGCAATGACCCGCGACCAGCTGGAGGCCTTTGCTCTCCGGCTGAAGGCGGAAATGGATCGGGAGCGTGAGGAGAGGAATTACTTTCAGTTGGAGCGGGACAAGATACGCACATTTTGGGAGATCACACGCCAGCAGTTGGGTGAGTTTTGCCATAAACCATTTTATAACTGATCAGAAATACGTATTATTTGATAGTATTTAAGTAATGAAATCTTAAATGAACTAAATTGTAACTGCTCTGTTTTTTTAAACACTTCAGATGAAACACGATATGAGCTGCAGCAGAAGGACAAGGAGATTGAAGCTACACAGGACCTTGCCGATATCGACACCAAGCACGTGATGCAACAGATGAAGCATCTGCAGTTCGAGAATCACAATAAATTAGGCGAAGTTCGGGCTGAGGCGATGACGCAACTGAAGTTGGCCCAAGAGCACCATGTCCTGCAGGAGAATGAGCTACAAAGGGACAAGCGCCAGTTGCGCAGGATGCTGCGGGAAAGGATGGAGATGAGCGAGATGCAGCTGCGCCAAATGGAGGCCCACTTCAACGAGAAGCTGCTGTGGGTACCATCTCAAAAAGATTTATCTTAGATTGATTCAACTGGCAAAATTAAACTTACAAATTGTCTGGTATATTCACAAATATCTAACAGTTTCTAGAATAATTTTTTGAAAACAATTGATTATTCCAAATTCAGAATTAAAATAAAAAATATATGCTAAATTCAACAGTATTTAAAATCTATTAGAGTTTATGTTTAAAAAAAAAGATCTGCCACTAACTTTTTCAACTGATTTGATTTTCTAGAGCTTTCATAATATAAGCAAATAGTTTTTACTTTATCTTAATTAATTGTATTTTCCTGGCAGGGAGCAGCGCATCACCTTCGAGCGAGAGCGCAAGGACAACGAGATGCTGCACGAGGAGAAGATGATCGAGCAAAAGGCCAAGCTGGACTTGTTCTACGGAACACAGATGTTCGAGGTGGAAGAACGGAAGAACCAGCAGATTAAGGACCTACAAGACCACCATGACCTGGCCTTCAATGACATGAAGAACTACTACAACGACATTACACTAAACAATCTAGCTCTGATTGGCAGCATGAAGGAGCAGCTGGAACATCTTCGCAAACAAGCGGAGAGATCGGACAGGATCGCTGCGGACACGGCGGCGGAGAATCGGCGTTTGAAGGAACCATTGGAACACGCCAATATCCAGTTAAATGAATACCGTCGCAAACTGGAGTTCTACGAGCGGGATAAACAGCAGTTGAGTCGCCTCAAAGTACGAAACACGCGGCTGGAGAAGAAAGTCAAGGGTCTTACTTGGGAGGCGGAAACACTGATTTTACGCAATGATTCCTTGGTGGCGGAACGGGAGGGCCTTAAGGAGCGCTTCAACGACGTCATCGTGGAGCTACAGCAGAAGACCGGACTAAAGAATGTCCTTCTGGAGCGCAAGATCGCCGCATTGGTTCGCGAAGACGAAAAGCGCAGTATTGTCCTTCACGAGACGATCGCCACTTGTGCCCCCAATTTCGCCGAGAAGTTGACCACCTTAGATGAACGTGTGGGCAACATCGTCGACGAGAAGAACAAGATCATCCTTGACCTGCGTTATGAAGTTGCCAAGGCCCGCAAGGCCCATGACGATCTCCTCGAGACTTACGAGTGCAAGCTCAAGCAATACGGCGTTCCCACTGATGAACTTGGCTTTAAGCCACTCCGAGATCGGGAACAGCAACAGTTATATGTTTGCGGTCCTGCGGGAATAGTTACGGAGAATAAATAACAACGTACAGAAAAAAGTAAGGCATTAAACTCTAATAGATCAACAATCAAAATCGAAAAAAAAAATAATCAAATGGTAAAAAAAAGATTCATAAATTGAAAATTATATAATGAGATGGGACTTCTCGCAAAGGCAAGGACAGGAAAATATTCACAAGGAAATGATTAAAAATAATTATTTAGTTGGAAACATATAACAGAATATCTTATTATATTTGATCCTAATGAAAAAAAAAAATTAAAAATGCAAGAAAGAGCAAAGGAAGTCATAAGAAAGAAACTTTGGGCCATGGAATATTTTTACCATACGAAAAAATAAAAGGATATCATCGATTGAAAAGCGGGAAAAGATTAATCATAAAAAAAACCATTGAAATCTAAGAAGCCAAAATACAAAATTTCGTCTTTACAGCTCCAATAAATGTAAATTGTTAGTGCTGTTCTGGATTATTTACAATTTATTCAACAATATTGTAGAAGTCTAAGTATTATAAAAAAAACCCTCTCGAACAATTTTTGAGAACAATAAAATTTCAAACAATACTATACCTCATATTATTCATCAGATTTGAAGGAATTGTAAAAATGAAATGATACGAGTATGTACCATATTTGGGAATAAAACGCTAATAGGAATTGCTGTTCGAATCATTTAGAATTTATTCAACGTTAGCCTATATTAATGTATAAGAAAGTATGTATACGTTTATGTATATGCTTATAAAAAACCTTCTGGAATACGTTAGCAAGGAGTTGAACATTTTGTTATGGGAATGCGCGTATTTCGACTAACACTACAGACAGAAAGAGATAGATTGAATGAGAGTGCTGGGGGGGGGCAGAGACAGAGACAGGTAGATATAGATATTCGAGCCATATATTTTGCTGATTTGTGTGTTATTTTAATACTTAATGGGTCTGTGGTTCGGGTTCTTACGTAACTCTTTAACGGAAAATGATAAAAATCCTCTATTTCGTTTTCGAAACACTGCTCTGAACGCTTCTTGGCTTTATGCTAATTTTACTATATTCTGCACTTTGTTATGGTTAGGGTTTTCTCTTTAGTTTCTCAATTGATTTATTTTTGAAATAGATATCACATGATGTTTTGCTTCTTGTTGCTGTTTTTACTACGGATTTAATTTAATTCAATTCGTTTCGTTTCGAGTCGTTTTCGGTTTCAGTTTCAGTTTCAGTTTTAGTTTTCGTTTTCGTTTTATTTTTAGTAGTTTCCTTTAAATTGATTTGATTTGATCAACAACAATAATTTTCCTTATTTAAATTTTCTCTAACTGAAATATGTTTCCTTGGCATTTGCTTTTATTGTTTAACTTTTCGGTAACTGTACTGTTTTAACTGTTTTGGTTTGCTTATCTGTGTGCTGGGATACACTTTACAAACTGAAATTTTTACTTATGTAGTAACAATATTCATATAATAGTCATATTTCTAATAATACAAAAAAATAATTCGAATTTTTCAAAAAAGAATGTGTAAATTCATACGTCGAGATTAGTCATATGTATCTTAATACGGACCACAACATTTTGTGTACTTTAGTCGATAATCTTAAACTAAAAATGGATGTTAAATACAATCAAAAGAAGAGACCACTAATTAAGATTGAAAAAAAAAGAAAAGAAAAAACTTAGGATGTGTGACACATTTCACAGCAGTTTTTGGTTTGTGTCTCTTACAATTTGCCTTATGATTAAATCAATCCTCTTTTAAAGATAGTACAAATGAGTCTTAATATTAGTAACAATAAATGTAAATCAATATGGAGGTCATTACTTGCCTCAGTAATCTGTAAAGTGTATACTTTCTGATCTTTCCTCCTTCTATTTTTGCTTTTTCGATCTACCATATATCGCTCAGGTTAGTTTGAATACTTCTTGTATAGTTCTGCTGAATTTTATTTGGAGTTCGATTGGTTGGCTCTGCAGTATTAGTTTTAGTTTTTAGTTTAGCTTTTTTTTTTTGTTGTATAGGTACTTTTCGGTTACGCTCCTACTGATTTCGAGTTCACAAACTATAAAAGAATAACTTATAGCTGCCTGTTGCGGTGTCCGACTTTTTCTGTATTTTTTTTGTTTTGTTTTTTTGTATTCAGTAGAGTAGTTTGCAGTTTTGTATTTATGTTTTGTTTAAATCAAAATTTAAAGCGATCACAACGGTTTAATTCACAGACGCGTGTGGAAACATTTGGTTAGAAATGTCCGTGGAAATATTTCCTATTTTCTTTTGTATCGTTTCGATTTCTGGTTAATTAATTTTTTTGTTTTCAATTCCCCAATTTTCGGTTGGCTTTTTCTTATCTTCCAAACTGGTTGCTATGCTTTCTATACAAGTAAATGTAATTTATTCGTAATTTGAGTATAATTTCACTTAACTAATTTTAGTCAAATTGGTAGCGTTTGCTCGTCGTTTCGTTATTGTTCTCTATATGGTTTCGGTTCGGTGATTTTTCACAATCCTAATAAATATACTGATCGCGGGTGTATGTGGGGGTATTTTGAGTGTGTGGTGTTTTTGTGGTGTGTGTGTGTGTATGGCACATTGGGAGTTTTTATTTTTCATTATCTAAAGTTTTTTTTTCTTTGCCTTGTACGCGTTTCGACTATTTAACTAATTTAATTCGATTCTATTCGAGCACAACATAAATCTATGATCAATCTGAGGCTATAACTGGATTTGCTTAGTGATTGGTGATTATTGCTTTGACTTGGACTATTTTAAAGTTACGTTAGATTAATATTCAATACGTAGGCCATATGATTAGTTTACATTTAACTTTAACTTTATCTAAATGCCATAATTTGTGTTTCAGTTTCAGTTCCAGTATTCGTTTTCTTTGTTTTTTTTTTTTTTTTTGAAAAAGTCTAGACCAAAATGAAAGTTTTACTAACATTTTTGTTTGTAAGGCAATTTGTTTGTTGTTTTCCGTTTTTTCTTTTCTTGTTTTTTGTTTTGTTGTTGTTTGCGCTTGCGTTTGCTTTTGCTTTGAGATTGTTTTTAATCCAAATTGAATTTAGATTGAGTTCAGTTCAGTTGATTCAGTTTGATTTCAAAAAATAAATCCACCAAATCTAGTACAAATACAAATACGAATACAAAGGTGATTACACAAAACGAGCGTTAAAAATATCTAACTAACCCGATTGCAATTGTGGATTCCGGGGGTGTAACTATTACCATTATTAGTACATATAAGTATGTAGAATTAAGTTGGCCCGGGTATACGACGGTTACTCACCAAGGACCTATATTATGTTACATGAAAGCTATTCGGAACTGGAGTGGGTGGACCGAGCGCCCTAGCATCTATGAAAGCGAGAGAGATGGCCGATGGCAACGAACCGATGGCCACCGTCCTTCAACAAATGGAACTGCTTTAAGATGCAGCTGTGCGATTATTTGGGTCGTCGTCGCTGATTCAAAAGGCTGCTCCTTTAGTAGAACTTTTTGCGAGCAAAGGCGTTAATCAGTCGAGGCGTGTGCTCGTCCAGGCTGCACAGCTCCAACAAGTTCTCGTTTCGACTGTCGGAATAGTTCATGGAACGATGGTGCTGGCGCAGACTTACCATTATGAACCTGTAAGGAAAGAAGCAGTTGATAATTGCTGATTCCGTAACTTTCTCTATAAATACTGACTTTGCATTGGAGCTCCGCTTCTCACGGTACTCATCCATTAGTTTAGCCAAGCGCTCTGAAGAATTTCCCAGATTTCCTCGTGCGGCACCCGGAACCAGCACCAAAAACACATCGTACGTGTTGGCCTCATCCTCTAAAGCTCTGTTCAAAATATCCGTCAGCGACTGCTTGATTTTGAGCACCTGTTATAATAAGTTAGTTACAATGTATTCATTTGATTATTGAATTTCTTACCTTTTGATTCTCACAACAGGCCGTGGCCTCGGCCACACTCATTTCTTTTGTCCAGGGCAACGTCTTAAGCTGGCCACTGCGATCATGCCAGAACTGCACCGTCACCTTGGGATCACTGCAGAAATAGCCAAAGGCCAATGCCACCAGGGCATCTAAATATTTTATCGAACGGCAGCGACCGGAAAGATATTCTACGAGAAGATTTGATTATTTTATATTCTTACAATTTAATAATATTCCACTTCGCTTACTGCCTAGGTAGAGCTGCTCCAGGTTAAGGGTGATGTGCAGACGTCTCCCAAGCGCCTTATTCTTGCCAAAGGATAGCTCGTAAACATTATGTAGAAAACTTGCCTTTCGCAACATAGTTGCACACTAAAAGAGTTATAAGTATAATTATTAATTGTTTTCCGATCGAATTTATGAAGCAGTAAACTTGCACTTACCAACTTCTTGGGCTTCTTCAGACGCATGTCCTCCAACAGCAGACGCACTGGCGACACGTTTCCCGCCCTCAACTTCTTCTCGTCCATCAGTTGTTCAGCAAAGGGACGTACTTGGTAGTGCAATCGCAAGAGGCGTGGCCAACACTTGAGCAGCTGATCGTAGCTCATGCGTGGTATAAGGAACTTAGCTAGTCCGGAATCGTTAAACAGCTGAAGCGGCACATGCTCCCAGCTCAGCGACAATTTTTTAACGATAGGCAGAGCTTGTTCGGGATCTTGCATAAGTCGGAGCTTCACCACTCCCTCGATAATTCCGCGACAGTTGCTAAGGGGAGTGAGAAAAATTGGCCATGACGATAACTCCTTCGGCGGCGATGACAGAAGCTTTAATGCAGCCATGATTTCCGGCTTAAAATCAGCATCATGAAAGTGACAGCGGTGTAGCAAATCGCGATGCGCTGACCAACGATTTCCATCGCCCAGCGACCACATATGTAGAAGTCGGTCAAGCGATTGCTTGCCATACCAATCAAGGATGGCCTTGCGCACCGTGCGATTGAAGGGCGTCTTACGATCGAGCAATTTCTGTACTCGCTTTACCAGTTGAATGAACAATAGTAGATCCGAATCACAGGTTATCAAATCAGGAAACCTATTCCGCACCGATTTGCGTTGCCTATCGTCGTCGCGCGTAGTGAGAAAGACGGCCAAGATAAGGAGCGGCTCGTCGGGTCGGGGTAGGTGCTCTGCATTTGGACCACTTCCAAGGACACTAGCCAGGCACTCGGCCAGTTCGGCAGCGTTAACTTTGGAGCACAGATCTTTCAGCGATGCCAAGCTGTTCTCAACGACGAGGTCTAGCGTTGGGGTAGCATAGACGGGCTCGTCCGTGCTGCCAATAAAACAGAATCTTCGCAGCTTGTCGATGGCTGGGATGGTAGTGGACTTATTATCCAGAAGTTCTACTGTCAAAAGATCATCCTTTTTCTTCACCGAAGCTAGAATTCGGAATTTTAGATTTAGTTTAAAGGACTTATTTAAAAAAAAATATATATTTACATTTTTATTAGCAAATTTACAGTTTAGAAAGGATTAATAATTTGTTTTCATTTATTTCAGTATAATTAAAAACATAAAATTTAAATTAAATTATAAAAAATTTCTAACAACGCACAAAAAGATATTGCGTTGGTGATATTTTTTACGCCACTGTGTTTGTAGAGGAATTACCACATGTACCGTTTCAAAAGGTTTTGGTTCGGGAGGGGGAATGGGAAGTGCGTTGTACTCACATTCCTTCGCAGCCTTATTATTACTTTCCGGTTGATGCTGCTTGGCATCCTGTTGTATTGTTACGGCCGAACCCGACGATCCTTTGACTACCGGAATTGATGAAGATAGACCCCGGGATAATCCCTTCGATCCAAGGGAGCTTGATCCCTTGGCCTTTTTCATGGCAGTGATTATTGCATTTTACACACTGGCGCTGCACTTTCAGGGAATTGACAAGCGTTATAACCTTTTTATTCGTCACGCCCCGTTTGCTGCGTTTCCAGCAAAGTGTAGCTTTAAAGTTTGAACAGTTTGCAACGTCCTTGTTTTGTTACAAGAAGTTTGATATATAATTTTTACAAAACGCTGAGCATCAGCATGTGCAAGTGTGACCAGATAGTGCAATGGAATAAATACAATAAAAGCTTGGGGTGACCATATTTTCGAATCGAAAAATCGATAACGATAAAAAGCTGCTACGTTTTAAAAACACAAATGAATGTTTTAAAATCAGGCAGAGAACCATACTATTTTAATCAAGCATGCTTTTATATTAGAGATCTCAAAATCATTTACTATTATTATTATTATTTTCTATTGCATCCTGAGTATCTAGATATCGCCTTAGATGCCTTGGTATTTTTCCGCAACTACGCGTGCAGGCACACTGAGCAGCTGTTCGGCCTATTTGATAACACAATAACGTTTTCGATTGCAACTGTTTTTTCCAAATTTTTCACTGAAAAAAACCCCGTCTGGAGATGCAGTTCCTCCGTGTTGGTAGCCGTATAACGGCAATACGCCAGAGACTGGCTGACAAGATCCAGATGCCGGAGCGTTTCAAGAACACGTTCGTGGAAAAATGGGTGCAGTACTGGAACGGATTGGTCAGGGATTACACGGAGGTGGCGGTCGGCGTGGTCCGTGAATCTTACACGAAACCCAAAAAAGCGTTACTTTATGGTACTGGAATGGCGTTCTTGTACCACGCCGGTCTAAATAACCCAGACGAGGAGGCATTTATGACACTACTAAGAAGATCCACAAATCGAATGATCACAGTGCCCGTGGAACTTCAGAATCCCGTGTCTGTCGACTATCTGCTAACCTTGGAGAGGGCTATTAATCAAAAGAAGTTGCGGCTCCTTTCCCTGGGTGTGTGCACAATACTCTGGGTAGATCTGTATGACGAAGACGACTGCACATATCCGGCCATTTGCGAATACACCAAAGTGGGCATACTCAACTTCCACGAGCGGATTATTGACGTAGGCTTCTGGAATCAGTACTGGCGGCTGAAGTGGAAAATGCGCAACTACGATGTTAACTACCTGTGATTCCATATCGATACCTTTACCATGTTCACAACTTAAGTCAATCGAGGATGTATCAATATATGTATGTTTTTAGTACAGGAACGTGTTCATGTTTCTTTTTATAGGTTTAAGATTGGTCTCTTTACTATGTGCTTTAAAAATAGGCAACGTTTATTTTCGAATCTCATTTCGAAAAGCATACAAATATTGTATATTGCAGGGTCCACTACCTAATTGCTTTATTCCTCACTTTCCAACGGGGCGACTGGATTTGGAGGTGGAGCAACTGCTTCTATGATCTTCTTTGGCTTAAACTGCATCTCCAGCAACTCCTGGCAATCGTCCAGTCTCGCCAGGTTGTTAATCTTGCCTTGGAAACTGCCCTCCTTACCGTTTCCCTTTCCTTCAAGGAGTTCTACAAACTGGGGACCGAGTTTCTCGACGATATTTGGATCTCCGCGTAGTACCAAATGTCCCTTGGCATTACCGCCTGCGGAAACGCCCTCGGAAACGGTCAGAAAGTAAAAGATACCATCGGGAGCCAATCGCAAGAATGTGTTAATAAAGTCCACCTCGATGCCATCGCGTCGATGAAGGGAGAAGTACTTCGGACGCTCTTTCTTCGGCAGATCCTCCAGTCGTTCTGCCTCTGCGGTCGCAAAGTCCTTCAGCAGCTGCGAAAAATACTTCCGACTGCCCTTCACATTCTGCTGCAGCTTTTGAACGAGTTCCAAGTGCTGTCCAGGGCCACCTCTATGATATGCAGGTGGATTTATTTCTGGAAAATTAAATATACACTGAGTGGACTCACTTGAGTGCCTGGGTTAGCTGCTGCTCGCGCTGGAAGACCTCGCCTAGCTTTCCGAGTACCCTCTCGCCCACGACGAAATGAACTAGGACATTGCTCTTAACCTTCTCGGCGTAAAGCAGCTTGATGCACTGCAGTTGGGAGAGATTCGAGACGTGGGTGCCGCAGCACATGTTGCTTTCGATGCCTTCGATTCGCACAACCCTGGCCAAGCCCTCGTGATCCTTAGGCAGTCCCCTGGGTGCCCTGGCATCCTGGAACTCTTGTGCCACTTCCGGATCCACCAAGACCACCGTAACCTCACGACCCTCACGTATCAGATTGTTGGCCTGCCGTTCGATAAGGTCCAGCGATTCGCGACTTATCAAGTGAGGCGTACTCAATTGGATGTAAGAGACACTCGATCCCAGTGACCATGATGTGGTGTCGTATTTGAACTCCCTGTCAAATAAGGCGGTTATTAGATGCTGTCCCGAGTGTTGCTGCATGTGATCCAGTCTCCGCTGATAGTCGAGTGTTAAAAGCACCTCCGCGTCCTGCTCAAAACTCGTCGGGGACTCCACAAAGTGAACAGCCGTAGTGCCCTTTCGCTGAACATTCTTAACGGGAAATCCTCCAAGAGTTCCGTAATCGCAAGGCTGGCCACCGCCCTCGGGAAATAGTATCGTATCCTCGCAGATCACATTAAAACCCTTTAGTTTCTCGACTTTTCCATTGGTATCTGTCCAATCCAAGGTAGCAAACTCGCTGCTAATGATTTTCGTCTTGAACTACAGCGAATTAGGTTACAAATTATGTAATTACGGCATTTCATTTTATTAGAGGGTTTACCTGCTTCAGGAAACTGTCCTCCTGGCACTTGAACACCATCTTCTCATTCAATCCACGCAATACCCGGCTGGTTTATCGCAATTATAAACAATTTATGATGGGTTCTGTCAACAAGTGTTCATTCGGCGGCTAGTTCATTCTAGAGATGCGCAAGGTGTTCATCGGAAAGCGGTTACAGTATAATAGGAATTCATATCTTTTATATTTTTCACAATATAATAATTATTATGTATATTTTAGATCACATTTCTCTTCACACCCGTTTTGTTTTCTGGATTATAGACTTTCTATAAAGCTAATTTCTTAAGATTATTTAGACACTGTGCAACACTTCTTGAAAATTCACTAACGCGGTAAAGTAATTCATTGTTTGAATGTCACTAACGCCTTTTGTTAAAGGCAGTTGTAACTGATTGGAGTATTTGAAAAAGGATCAAATAATTCGTTTCTGATTGACTTTTTGCATTTAATAATTAGCTAACTTTAAGTGGTAGACCTTGATTTAAAGCCTTGAAAAATGTTCTAAATAAAAGCTAATATTTAAATTTCGAGATAATTGCCTTATTTTCTTCCCTTTTCTGTTTACCTTATCTTCCCTTTCGGTCGAATTCGCGTGACACCATCTCGCTCGCACCCGTGCTAATGTCAAGCTGCGTCTGCGCTGCTCTTTTTGCTTACTTGCTCTCTCCCGTTATTGCTCGTCCGCCCCCGTTAATCGTTATCCTTTTCGTTTAGCCATTCGGTTGTTACGTCCTTTGCTGCTCAACAGTTTCCTGCCAACGTCCCGTTACGCCACACCGTTACGTTATCCCAACCAGAATCACGGGATAGCGAAATAATCGGTCTTTAAATAGGTTTTAATGCAACCACCTGCAACCGTTAATTAAGGGATAATAGGATTATAATCCCCACGCGTCCTCCCGCGACCATCATCGGTCGGAGTTAATCATTATTTCTTTGTTTTATTTTAGTGCGACTTCATTTTTTTCGCGAGTGTTTTCTTCGGTTATATAAGTGAGTTTTGACGTGCAACCAAAATAAGAAAAGACATTTTAGCAATCAAAAAGGATATTCTTCGCCATTTAAAAAGGCGCAAAAAAAGTAAATATGCTGAACCGTAGATACCCCAGAAAAAAATCTATCCTTAAAAGCATGCTATTATAGACTTGAAAAATGACCTCCGACATAAAGTAACCTACATCGCCCTGGGAAACTAAGCCTTAACTAATCACAGGTCGAAAAATAGAAGTAAATTCTATTACACTGCATTAGTGAGTGGGCGAAAAATGTTCAAGGGTGCGATGGGGGGGTTAAGGTATCTTCGTTGATTGATTTATTTAGTGGACCCAGTCACACGCAAGGCCCATAGATGTCACAGTGTGTGCGTGCGTCCTTTCTTAATGCATGATTTGATTGATGAAAGGCACCCGTTAGAAAAAATACTATAATATATACTATCAATTTAATTTTTATATAATAAAGAGTTATTAAATAGTTCTTAATTTTAGAACCAACATTTTGGTCTATTTTTCAAGAATTATATTTATTTCATTATTTTTAAAGAAGTATCTTATTAATGAAAATCCTCATATTTGTATACGTACTTTGTTTTTACCATACCTATTTCTCTCTGTGCATGCATGGTGTATACAATTATTAGTAATACGTATTTCACCTGACAAAAGCAGCTAGCGGCACTGCGATGGCGTCTACTACTAATGCACCGTTATCACCTGCAATTAAGCACTAACAAAAGCACCACCTAACCATAGTAAAAAAAAACAAAATAAAAACCAGAAATAAGCTATTAAAAAGAAACCGAAAAACACAGCCAACCACAAGGGGTTAACATGCGTTATATTTAGCCATCCATAAAAGTATGCTACAAGAAATATGTCCAGTGAGTTGCTAGTTACTTGATCGAAACACCAAGTGGCGCCGAAAAACGTGAAAACTGACGGAATATTTGCACAATTCGGAAACGGAAGTGATAAAGAGCACACTTAGAGGCACCCACATACAGACATATAGAAATACACACAGCACCCATAAGCACACATATAATAAAGAGTAATAATTAATCGAAATAATAATATAACGCAATCATGGCCAACACAGCTCAGTTATTGCGCCGTCAAAGCTCCCGGGATATAGTCCTCAAAAGCCAGAAGAGCATTGATCAGCTGGAATTAAGGGTAAGTCAAGAGGATTACCCTCAGAAATCCTTGTAATTATGTAGGTTCTTGTGTTCGAGATTTTCGTGCAAAAGTGTGTGAATAAAATAAAAGTAAAAAAAAACTAATTATGATTTGTAAAAATAAAAGCTAGTAAACTTGTAGATAATTTGTTTTCCCGATTTTTTTTTTTAGGAATGCGCTAATAATATTTGATTGTAAATTACTTAAGCAAGGATTACTTCGCTAAAGTAAGACTAGGAAATTCGGTTATTTTAGGCCAAGAAAGGATATTAATCAGTTCATTTTTCTTGCGTTATTGTTTTTATGCAATTACTAAGCCGAATTAATTATTCCAGGAACTGCGAGGTCGCCTGGTATCAAAGGAGCATGGCGTTAGCCATCACCATCACACATCGCTTCACCACCACCAGCCACTCTATGGAGCCACTAATCAGGGCTTCATGTCGGATGCCTTCGACGAGTCCTCGGAACTGGAACAGGATCCTCCGCCCTTTGGATCCGAGGCAAGCACCTCAAAGGCCAAGGCTGAACTGGTGGCCAATGCCTCGTCCACAGCGGATCAGCAGGACATCGTCGAGGGCGAGAAGGAAGGCGAGGAGCGTGAGAGTTGGGACAGCAAGATCATGTTTCTGCTGGCCACCATTGGGTGGGTGTTAAAGACACGGACTAAGAAGTTAAATACAAGTCACTAATTTCCAACCCACAGCTATGCCGTTGGCCTGGGAAATGTGTGGCGTTTCCCGTATTTGGCCCAGAAGAATGGCGGCGGAGCCTTCTTGGTGCCGTACTTCATAATGCTGTGCATCCAGGGCATACCGATTTTCTATCTGGAACTGGCAATTGGCCAGCGGCTGCGGAAAGGAGCCATTGGCGTTTGGAGTCAGGTATCGCCATATCTGGGCGGTATCGGTATCTCCTCGGCGGTGGTTAGCTACATAGTGGCATTGTACTATAACACCATAATCGCCTGGTGTCTGATCTATTTGCTGCATAGCTTCGAATCACCATTGCCATGGGCAGATTGTCCCACAAGATTGTATAAGAACTTTACCTACGATCATGAACCGGAGTGTGTGGCCTCGTCACCCACGCAATTCTATTGGTATCGCACCACATTGCAATGTTCGGAAAGTGTGGATATGCCCGAGAACTTCAATTATCACATGGCTATAGCGTTGATTGTATCCTGGTTTTTGGTCTACATTTGCATGGTACAGGGAATCACGTCGTCGGGCAAAATCGTCTACATGACGGCCATATTCCCATATGTGGTCCTCATAATATTCTTTTTTCGTGGGATTACATTAAAAGGAGCTGCCGATGGGGTGGCCCACTTGTTTACACCTCGATGGGAAACACTTTTGGATCCAGTTGTTTGGCTAGAAGCCGGCACCCAAATCTTTTTCTCGCTTGGATTAGCCTTCGGCGGTCTAATAGCTTTCAGTTCATACAATCCGGCGAACAATAATTGCTATAGGGACGCCATTCTCGTATCGCTGACCAATTGCGGGACCTCTATGTTCGCCGGAGTTGTGGTGTTCTCGGTAATTGGGTTCAAGGCCACGGCGACCTTTGATCGCTGCACCGAAGAACGAAATGGACTAATGGCCCAGAACAAGACTCAAAACCTGCCCATTTGCGATCTGCAAACGGAACTGGCCAATGTGAGTAACTCAATGAGTAACATTCTAAATGTGGAACATTTTTTAAATATTATCGGAAAAATACAGATTCTTTTTTAAAAAATAATTTCAAGATAGGTTCAAATCATTAAAAACAAAAAGTAATTATTTTTGAATTTACCTTTGCAGAGTGCTTCGGGCACAGGATTGGCTTTCATTATTTTTACGGAGGCGATTAATCAGTTTCCGGGTGCTCAACTATGGGCCGTCCTGTTCTTCCTGATGCTTTTCACCCTAGGAATCGACTCGCAATTCGGGACCCTAGAGGGTGTGGTCACATCGCTGGTGGACATGAAACTATTCCCCAATTTGCCTAAGGAATATATTGTGGGGGTGAGAATATTTATATTTTTATAAAAAGAAATATCTAACCTTTTCATTGCATAAATTGAAATTAATTTTTTTAATTTCTAATCCCACAGGTGCTGTGCTTTTCGTGCTGCCTGATTTCCATGTGCTTCGCCAATGGAGCTGGTAGTTATATATTCCAGTTAATGGACAGTTTCGCCGGCAATTTCCCGCTGCTGATTATCGCGCTTTTCGAGTGCCTGTCGATAAGCTATATTTACGGGGTTCGCCGGTTCTCTGATGATATAGAAATGATGACAGGATCGCGGCCAAGTTTCTATTGGATGTTCTGCTGGAAGTATCTGTCGCCATGTGCTATGGTCACCATCCTGCTTGCTTCATTCTATCAACTTCTGACCGAGGGCAGTAGTTATCCGGCATGGATTGGTTCCAAGGGAGCCGCCGAGGCCATGGAATGGCCACACTGGTGCATCGTCGTTGCCTTCTTCCTTATCCTCTCGTCCATCCTGTGGATTCCCATTGTTGCGGTGCTGCGGTAAGATAAATGTTTTTGATAAATAAAAGTCGATTTCTGATGAACTCAAAAATGTATTCTTAAAAATAATAACAAATTATTTTTCCAGTTTGTGTGGCATCAAAGTGGTGGAGGACTCAGATCCCGCCTGGTTCCCCGAGGCGGAACTAAGGGAAGTCCACGGAATTGTGCCCCACGAACCAACCGAATTGGAGCGTAGCATTTTCTGCTTCAACATGGACGGAACGGAGGGTATGTGCTGCCCCAAATATGGACTACCCGAAAAGTCTCTAGAAGAGGAGGAGTAAGCCCAAAGGATCCAAAAAAAAAAAAAATTACATAAATAGACAACAACGACAATAAGTCAGATGATACAGATGAACCGCAACCGCAACCGAAAACGAAAACAAAAACAAAATAGAAACGGATGAAGTAAATATAAAATTAATCTTGATGTAAATATGGACAATAACTAAAGCACTCACCGATGTTGGGCGGCGTTGATATCAAAACTCCTATATGGTCCCAAAGACTGTTCAAAGATAAAACCAAAAAAGTAAACGAAAAACAAATATATAATGCAAAGCAACCACAAAACAAGGAAAATAGGAAAAAATAGAAATAATAGGTAAAAAACAAAAACTCGACGCTGGATGCGCGGTTTCATTCAAGCAGAAAGCTATAGAAAAACATTAAACCAAAGAAGAAATCAATGGTAATATTTCCTCATAAAATCATTAGCATGTGGCCATATATGTGGTATATATGATTATTATTTTCCATTGCCTTTTTGTCTTCTGGGTTTCATTTGTATTTTCGAATCGAAAAGGGCAGGAAGAGAGAGTGCATAGTTGTTATATGGCCATCCTTATAGGGTCTACATATCCGATTTCGCTATCATGAAAAGAGAAACCGTATTCTTTGCCACAACCACAAATTGCTGACTATATACGATATATATATATATACATATATATGATAACTATATATATATATATTATAATTACGCTGTATTTTAGACTTAACTGTTTAATTTGACCATATCATGCGAGCTTGGGGCACCACCTATAAGAGATATAAAACTATATATATATATTAACTATATACCTACCACAGTTCATTCTCTGTTGTGATCAGCTCGGCTTTCTGTGTTTTACTGTTTTTTATTGATGATAATGTTGCTCCTGCAGGCTATATCACGAAATCATATCACACATCCAGAACTAATGCTTAAAAATTGCAAACAAAAAACAAAATAAGCAAAAAAACCTTTAACGTCTCAGTGTTATAGAGAAAATAAAATGGGAAGGGGATATACATATATATTGGAAATGCGTTATGTTTTGCTCTAATCGAAAGTTATACGATTAAAATTACTTGTTGATAACCGATAACATCGCCATAGCACTCCATTGTACTTATGATCTACCATATATATAGGGAGTGTATCTGTAGATATATATATACATATATTTACATTAAAGCTAACATAACAAATTAACATTGAAAACAAAACGCCAACGCAACCGTTCAAATAGGTGGAAAAAGGAACTCTATATAGATATACATATACATAACTGGAGAAGGCAGCTTAAGGTTAAATGACTCACTCACTAATATCATCACTATTATACAAATTAACAAATATATATATGTATATACACATATATATTTACATATATTTATGTGTGTTGAAATGCAGCTAATGGGTGCGTGAATTTATTTTATCATAAAATATCAAATGTAAAAGATTTTCGGTTTTTTTTTTGCTACAAAAATATGGTCAGCACAATTGGCCATTTTTAAAAGAAAGACAAGAAAGACAAGAAAACCAATAATAAAACTCGTTAAAATCAATTCACTACCCCAAATAGCAATTGATTTCACTGTATTATAAATTCTACATTTCTTTATGGTATATTTATACATATACATCGATATATTATATACATCTATTTAGAACGAAAGGAAACAAAAATATATATATATATATATTATACATTTATTAAGTGTTATTGATGTTGACAATAAAGAAACCCCCTACGAAACGAGTTTTAAACCGAAACCACATGCGATATATAGACAACCTCCTACTACCCAAAACACAACCCCACAGATTGCTATCCAATCCAAACGGATTATGATTAAATGCATTAAAAGCAATAATTATATAAAAATTACCCAAAGATATTCGATTATTACTGTATGGTTCATCATTTTTTTTTTGCTCCCTCAAGGATCTCGTAATTGATGTAAAATTCACTCATTCGTTCTATGAACCCATGAAATATGATAATAAAAGGTAATATGGTACAACGTATGATAATTTACTAATGTTAAATTCGCAACCGATAAATAATAACAAAAATTTCAACTCAACTGACAATAAACAATATAAAAACTTAAACTCAAATGGTATTTAAATTGGCAACTATGGGCTGTTCTTAAGTAAGCTTTTTTTTTTAAAATTTACTTACATAAATTTGTATGATTTTCTGCAACGTTATGCTCAGACCCCTTTAATTCCAATTCCAATTTACACATATAAACTTCCTTAACCGTTCTTCAGGTTCAGCGAAGCTTGGACATAGCTTCTTTACAGTAACTGTAAGTAGTACACAAAAATAAAATTATAAGTTAATTTTGGTTTAAAAATTTGCTATGAAAAATTTAAGTTAGCTTTTTCAAAATTAAATAATAAGATGCTTGACTTCACACACTTTTTTAATTAAGATACATTTTTCAAAAATCATAATTTTAATTTTAGAAAATCGTTAGCCAAAAAAAATAAATATTTGTAACTAATACAGCTAATACAGAGTATAGTACCATGAAAGCAATATCATAAATATTGGCAGTGGAATGCCAACGGTTTTCATAAAAGTTAGCAAAATGTTTTCTTTCAGTGAACTTGAGTGAGTGCGCATGTGCAACGGTAATCATCTGCATTGGGCAACGCCTGCAGCAGCAGCCCTTGTGATTTCAGCGGAGCGCAACAGGCAGTAACAAACTGGCCAAGTGACCGGCCACCAAGTTAGCGTTGCAGGGGGGGGCGGGCGGTATACAGTCGTAGTCGTAGTCGTAGTCGTCATTGTCGGACGACGTCTCACTGCATCGAATTAGCGGTAAATTACAAGCTGCAATGCATGTGTTGCATGTTGCCGCTGCACTCATACTTTCTGCATACTGCAAGTGCAAGAGCTTTACATTCCGTGCACACACAAATTCGAGGAGTCTTTCTTTTCAGTTTCTTCCTTTCCTTTGCATAAACACTTCGGTATTAAATATAATTAAAAAGCCAAAATCCATCAACAATTGTTCAGCCAACGGATCCGCCGCTTCAAGGAAAGTTTGCTTTTTGTACTAATATTTTTATAAAGCGGAAATTTCAGTTTCATATTAAATGACCCACAGAATTAGCGACACTAGAAATCATGGAAAAAATAAATAGAAAAGTCCATCAAAATATCCTAAATTTAATATTGGTTTTAAAAATATAATCTTTATATGCAAAATAAAAGATATTGCTTATAAAAACAAATCTAAAACTTTGTTAGTTGCCGGAAAGATCACCTCTCTAGACAGAGATGGGGATATCAGAACAGATATAGATAGATAGATATGCATAGTTGAAGAAAATGAAATAGCTAAACCAAAAAAAAAAAAAAACATGAATGCAGCCACAGAAAAAAAACCAAAGACGTTTATGCGACCGCCAGTGGCATGCACAGTGGGCCGAAATACGTGGGAAGTGGAAAGCCACTAGGTCAAAATGCAATGAATAAAACAAATATGTATACATATATAATATTTGCCATTGAATAATAAAGCCTACTCTACTTTTGATTCTTGCTACGTGGATTTATGCAACTTTAAAACTGTTCAATTATTATTTATTTATATTTCGATTGACAGGAAAATAGTGCTTCTTAACTGATATTTTTCCTTAAAAATTTCTGTGGCTCTAAGTCGACCAATTTTGCCAGCGAGTTGTTTTGATTGCCAGCAGAAAAGTTGAAGTCTCAATCGCGGCGGCAGCGTCGTCGCACCTGAGCTCCTAAAAACTGGAAACCAGTTTGAGGCCTTGCCACATTCCATCCACCGAGCACTGCCACTGCCCACTGTGCCCCGCGCGCGCACTGTTCGATGTTCCACTGTGCAGCTGCGGCAGCAAACAATTAACTTTGGCAACAAACGAGTACTGCGCCACCAGCACCACCAACAACAACAACAATAATAAAAAAAAAAAAACACTAACATCACTAGCCACAATAACAATAATAAAAGCGACGGACAAGTGCCGACGTCAACGTCAACAGAGGCAGCGACTGTGGCAGAGGCAGCAGCGTCGTCAACGGCTGCGCATGCGCACGTAAACAAATTCTCAGCGGCGCATATTTGTTGAACTTTTTAAAGGGGTGTTGTGATTTTTTTAAAAATCTTGTAACTGCTTGTTTAAAAAATTTTTGTTTGCTTTTTTAGCAAATTAATAATAATATTTTATATTATAAAATTTTATAATAATTTTATAAAATATGTAACCATTTTTTGACATGGTGTAATCTAATCTAAATTTAGCGAACCTAATAGATCTCATATTTAAATTAATATTTATACACTTTTTATAGTGTACTAAAAACTTCGTTTCACTTCATTGCGACTTTCTTGCTTTTGTTTCAGGTAATTTCTGTGGCTGCTGGTTTTTTTTGTGAGTTTCTTGAAAGCAAAAATTAAAAAACCACAACAACTGGCTTGAGAAAGAGACGAGACGAATGAGCGGCAGAAAGAGAGGAAGCAGTGGAGAAGAAGTAAAAAACAATCCCTGGCAAAACACGCCAACCCAAAGCGACTTTGTTGCTGCGGTTTTCAGTTGCCAGCGCGATTTTGAATGGGTTGTACGCGCGGCGAGTACTCGAAAATATTTTAAATCCAATAGAAATTCCAAAGGAATAAAGATAATATATAAAAAACAGTCATCGTGCGTGTGCAATATTTTGAAAATATATCTTAATAACAAATTTCTAAGTGCGAAACAGTTTTTCTGAATTTTCCGATTTTTGTTTTATTTTTACAATGTGTGTGTGGGGTACGCGGCCAAATGAAAATTGTGTGCAATAAGCGGCGAATACAGGCCAGCAGCAGCAGCAGCAGCAGCAACCACAATAACAACCACATCGGGTAAGCGCCGTTCGAATATTTCCAAACAACGAAAATCGAAAAAAAAAAAAAAAATACAAGAGAAATACCAGGTTCAAGTGTAACCAGTTTCCAGATTCCAACAAAAATTGGAAAAAAAAAATCCCGCAGGCAGAGCGCGCCCAATATTTCAAGTTCCCCAGCTATTCAAATGTAAATCCCGACTTGTTCTTGACTCCGAAGAACATTCTCTGACCAAGCCAAAAAAGTTGCTGCACTAATTGATCTGGTTGACCCACTGTTGGTACAACGGATGCCACGATAAAGAATATTTTACAAATGTTTCATCTGTCATTTATGAAAAAAAAGTATCTTTAAGGATTTTGTTGATAAAAAAGTTTCATACCATCTACTAATTAAGCAAAACATTTCGACTTTGTGAAAGAAAATTTTTGAAAAAAGTTAGGTAAAAGTAATATTTCTGAGTTTATACACTATTTAAATGACAAAACTTAACTGAAATTAACTATATTTAAAAAGAACCAATTATTTGAATAATTCTAAGAAGTAAACTTAAGATTATTATGAACATTTTCCAAATAATTATAATAATATATAGAGGCAGCCTTGTTTATGTTAGTAAGTTTTAAATCTATCAAAGATAACTTTCCAGAAGTTCGATAATACATAATATGATAATAAATAGAAAATTCCTGTATTGCAGGAAATAGAACACCACCAGTTGGTGTCACTTTGCAAAAATTTCAGGGTATTCAGTGTTCTCCCTTTTGTTTATGGCATTCTTTTGGCTGTTCTGCCAGCTTTTGGCGGTTTAGTCTTTATCATTATTATGATTATGGTTTTTTTTCTGGTTTCTCATCTGTATATACATCTTCTTTTTTTTTTCAACGCTGGCAAAGCTTTTAACATTTATTCAGCATCATCTCCAGCTTAAATGTCAAGCTCGTGTAGCGGCTTAAACACTCAGAAAAAATATGACCCCAGTAGAATTAATTAAAATTGAGAGATGCTTGGATTAGTAGGCTTTCATATTTATGAATTTATATTCCCTTTCAAGTTTAACTGCCTTCAGTCAGTTTTCTATTAAACTTAAAGAAAATATGTTTTGGAAAATTTGTATTAGTAGTCTTAAATTTTTCTAATTGTCTATTTACCACAATTCTGGTTTTCTTCTTCATTTCAGCAGTAGCAATTGCAGCAATCTACATGCGGCCGTCTAACTGTAAAATACTTGGCAACGGTCACCAGGAAAATCATAGCAACAAGTGGAACGCACAGCAGCAAAATCATTAGCCGGCATTTGATTGCATCAACCTATAGCCATAAGAGATATAGGCATTTGATATCGTGATTTGAAATCAGATATAGACAAACAAATGCTGTAGAACCATGGCGGCAATCACTAGCAATATGTCGCGATTGGAGCCAATGCGCGGTATTTCCATAATCATTGAATCACCAGAAGTGGCAACGGCAACAATAGCAACAACAGCAACACCAGCAAGCCAAGTAACTCAAGAAACCCAAACAACATCAGCAACACAAGTAGTAGCACCAGCAATTGCCAAGAGCAATAGCAACACTGAAATGTCGCTCAAGTCCCAGGCTGGCATGTTGCTGGCATTTGGCGACACAGCAGCAACAACCAAAGATAATTTGGAAACTAGTTACGACACAGCAGCAACATCAGCAACAACAACAACAACAACAACAACTGAAGCACCAGCAACACCAGCGACCACCAAAATCTATCCACAATTGCTGCTTCGGATTGGAGGAGAAATTGCCGGTGCACCAGCCACAGCAATAGCTACAGCAGCAGCAGCAGCATCACCGACCATAATCTGTTGCAATGGTGAAATTGCTGGCAGTCAGTCAACAGCAACAGCAGCGGACACAGCAGCAACATTGCAACATAATAATAATAATAATACAGTGAAGATTCAGATCGAAAGCCAGGGTCAACCGCGGATTCTGGGCAAACAGATTAGTGTGGTGAAACTGAACGAGGGCGTGGGGGAGATGCATGAGCAGCAGCAGCAGCAGCAGCAAAATTTGTGCTATCTGGTGGACACCAGTGGTCAGTACTCGCCATGCGAGACATTGGACAGTGGCACGGGCAGCGATTTGGAGGGTCACCAACAGCAGACGGTGAGGTCACCGCAGCTGGAGTTACATTTACAAACAACGCGACTGAAGGTTAAGGAAGAGGATGATAGCTTTAACCATAATCACAGCCCACTGGTAAACCCAAACCCCACACCTCATCGGGCCTACAGCCTCACCGATGACAGCGAGGAGTGCGATGAGAGTAGCAACTCATCGCTGAGCTGCGATTCTCTGCACTCTGGTGGTCTACTACCCACATCTTTGCTTAGAGATATTCGACTTAGGGAAAGGGATCCTGGTCCCTTGGTCACAAAAATTGATGGCAGACCGCTGCAATACGAGGCGGATGGTTATTATAACTTTCATGTCAACGAACACGATAATTTCCGGAGTTTTGGTTCAAATTCGTCGACGGAATCTTATCCGGAGGAACAGGATCATGATGGAGACTTTGTCGGCTTTCGGGATGTCCGGATAAAGGGCAAACGTTCAGCTAACTCAACGATTAAATCCGCCAAAGGAACCGTCAGGGGCGTCAAGAATCGTGTGCGCAATGGAGTAGCCACCTTCTTGCAGCTGCAACAGCCTAATTTCAAGGTGAGAAATCTTAATTATTTGGTTAGCCAATTTAATACTTAGTTACTTGTTAAACAAAACAATACTCTAAAAACAATCACAATCAAATGACACGGTGAGGTGTAGTGTTCAAATGTATTCAGTGAATGGCTACATCAAGTGAATTTATGAATTGCAAGTGAAAAATTGTATACATTTTTTTGTTAAATGAAAAATATTTGAGCAATGAAAGTAATTAAATTCAATTGCATTCACCGCCAGCAGAAAAATTCAATCGAAACTCTTACTGAAAAGTCTTAGTGAAGTTGTCAAATCAATTTAAATTCGTTTAAAACATTTTAGAAGGTAAATTCCGAGAAGCCTCGACTACTGCCATTAAGTCGAGAAACTGTATGTTTGTATTCCAAAATAGGAGGTTGATTAAGTGATTATGTGTATAGCTCTTTTTAGATATGTGAGTTTCCATATGTGGAAAAAATTATACAGATAAGAAGTTAAATATTATATCTTTTTTAAGTTCCAATAGTTGCGACTGCAAAGTTTAAAAGATTAAAACCTATTTTTCATTTGTCTTTTTTGATATACAATTAAATATGAGAAATGCCAGAAAGCGCGTAATTGAAATGCCACAAAATATTCCAACTATTATGCGGCTACTTTGAATATTCCGTTTGGCCAAATGATTCACACAAACACCCATTCAATCGCATGTGGGTGTTTTCATTGAGAAAGTTTTCGGTTTCGTTATGGATTTCTTTTTTTTTTTTATTTTTTATTAGCATTTTTGTTTAAACTTTTGTCTTTGGGTTGCTGACTTTTTGCACATATATGTACCATAGCAAAAGCTACAGATGCAGCCAAAAACTAATGATACATATGCAGCCAGACGGCATTATGCAATGCCGATATATATATATATTATATATAAATATTGCATGTGAGGGTTCGTTTGTTGGCCTGTGTGAAAGTGAGTCCAGATTCGTCTGTGATTCATCGCATTTCTTTGGGTCTTCATATTTTTTATTTCAGTTATGATTATTATTGTTTTTTTTTTTTTTGAGAAATTTCTTTCTTGAAAGTCAATTAACACCTGACTGCCGCTGTCTATTTGCGGAGCTTGTTGTTGTTGTTGTTGTTGTCTGAAATCGCCGTTAAGTGGCTTAATATGTCACATACGCCCTTCATCTCTATATGGATACAAATCCGAAAAAAGCAAAAGAAAGCTGAAATGCTGGCGGAAGTACGTAGCAAGAGGTACATACATAGATAGTCAGCTAGATAAGTTAGATAAATGTTGGGTTAAATGGTCCGCTACTTGACTAATTGCAAGAGTCTTTTTGTCTTTTTTTCTTCTACTTTTGATTTCTGTTTTCTCTTTAGGGAAAGTTCTCTTCTGACGGGAGGATCAAAAAAAAAAAAAAAAAAATGTTAAAGAAAACAAGAAAAAAAAAACTTAAATTAATTGACCTATTTTCCGGTGGTGGGAGCGTCTCAAATCGAAGTTTTATTGAGCCCAAATTGGACACGCTCACGCCTCCGAAATACCCTCGATTTTTGCCCTGTCATCGGCTTGATCTATGCTATTGAATATCAGTGTTAGATTATGTGATTTTGCGAAATCAATTTACCAGACTGGGGGGGTATCAAATTAACCCTGCTGGAAGTTGGGTAATATTTTTACAACTATCTAATATTCGTGTCTGATTTGATTTGTTAAGTGTAATGGGATCGGTTTGAATTTTGAAAAAAAAAAAAAAAACATTAGACTTAAACTGACAATCTCAATGTCTTGTCAACAATATCTACAACATAGAGTTAGTAAAACAACCTCAACAGCTTTCAACAACCTTCACGAATTCATTTAAAATTCGATAAGTATATCATCATAGGGCTGTCATCTTCGATGACCCCTGAAATTCATTAATTTTTCATCCGCGATTCAATCAAAAGTTTTAATGCCTCATCAAATTAAATGTCAACTTCTTGGACGACCGAAAAAATTTATTTTGTCTTTCGATTTTTCTTAGTCAAATTAGCAAAGTCAACCTTGAAACCAAAATCAATATATAATTATTGGCAAAATGGAAAACAGAAACAAAAACAGAAAGAAACCAAATTATTTAGCTAAAAACAGCTTGTATAATTTTTCAAGAAACACACAAATTATCATTATAAAGACGACTAATGTGTAAATTATGCAACAACAACAACAACAAAACAACAAAAATCGGATATACTGAACAGACAGATCGAATTATATTTTATGGTCAAAGTCGATTCCTTTTGGCTTTTGTTTCAAAAACGAGTTTGGAGTGGTGTCATTAAAATATCATTTAGCTAATTTGAGTTTAAGCACAAGCATATGGCATACTCGTGTCTTAGTTGAAGCTATAATAGGTATTGCCGGAAAATGAAAGTTTATCTTTGTGTGTAAATCCCGATGACAAGCCCACTTACACACCAAATTACCCTTTCCAAACTTTTCAAATTTAATATTTCCCTCCCCCCCCAATAAATGCTCTTGAAATTTTGTACAACAAAACAGAAAATTTTGTGTGGAAAAATGCCCTTCAGCTGGTTTGTTTTTCTCAAAAATAATTACTTTGAAATTGCTGACCTGTCCTTACCTACCACTCATTTACCAACAGTCCACCCAGTCTGCATCTTTCACATTTTGTTTTAATTGCTTGAAAAACCTTTTTTTTTTAACTGGCCCCAATTAAATAAAAACAAAGTTTATGCTAATAAAGAAACAAAGCAGCAAATTTCAGGTCACAAAATAGCAAGTATTAAAAATCCGAGAAATAATTGCCAAAATATAACTATTATGACGAAAATAAAAATTGGACAGTAACTGTAATATTTTGGCTGCTAAAATTTATTTTTTATGACAACAATCTAAAGTTATTTAGCAATGGCAATAGAAACTTACTTTTAATTACCATACAAAGAATATTTTTATTTTATTTTGGTTTAATTTTTATAGAGAAGCACTCAAAATTTAATAAGAAAACTGTTTTATGGGAAACAACGACGACTAGTTATATTTATTTTCGCCTTCAAACGAAAGTGAAAATGAAAACGTAAATGTACGTGACTGAGGAGCTGTAGGTTTATGGCATTCGGGCAATCTTTTACATTGTAGGAGAGTGTACAATAAATAAAGATACACATTTCTGGGCAAACAATTAGGCAACAAAAGCCCGCAAAGGGCGTTAGCTGCATTTTAATTTAGATTTGCCTTCAGGGCCAAAAGAAAGCCGCGAGAGCAGCCGAACGAAATGGGCTTATTAAAATATCCAATTATTGCCAAATTGAAGCTTGTTCAGGGCACGGCAGAAAAATACAACATCAGGAATACCAAAGTCTGAAAACTGAAGACTGAAAAAGTCAAAAACCAAAAACCAAAAACCAAAACCCAAACGAAACGAAAGTGAAATATTTCCACTCCGCTCACGTACGTGTGTGAATTTATTCAAAAAGAAAGGGGCGCCGACGAAGAGGGGAAAAAAACAGTATGTAAGCATATAAGATATATGTGTAGTTGGGTGTGAGAACCGACTTAAAGACAGATCAATGCGCTACCTTAACCGCAATGAGTCGACAGCCTCACTTCAATACCAAAAAGCAATTGCAGTAAGGGGTTACACTTTAATCTATACCTTATCTTTATCTTTATCTTTCATTTATGTATATTTAATAAGATTATTTTAAATGTAGAATTTACATTGAAATCATATTAATAAAATATTGATGCCTTTTGAGTGACATAATATTCTTTAAAACGAACTTTGTTATTTTTTCATCAGTTTCGAACTTGAAAGAAACCCAAAATATATTCCCATGATTATGTGGCGCTGCCCGAAAAAAACAAAACCAAATATTATGGAAAAAAAAAGGCAAAAATCCATCGATCGGTATCGAGAAACGCGCTTTCTGGCCGTCGGAAAGTCTGAAACAAAGGGTTATGTAAGGGCTATGTGGTGACGTATTAATTGAGATTTTTTTTTGTTTTTTTGTTGCACCTTGGAATCCCAGATCAAAAGCTATTGATTGCCAAAAACCCCTCCTTTTTCCTGCCGAACAACTGACCTGCTTTCTCTTTTGCAGCTCTTAAAAAAGCTGCAGTGTGTGTGTGTTTTTCTTATAAATTTTTGTAAGATTTTTAAGTGTTTGGCGTTCTGCAGAAGATGGCCAGATTTTTTGAGTTGTCATTTGGCCTGCGGTTCACAGTTCACAGCCTTGTTTACATTCAAAATTCATAAGATTTTTAAGTTATTTGGCCTGCGGTTCATAGCCTCATTCATATTCATATCCATTTTGTTGCTTTTTTCCACGTTTTTTTTTTTTCTTCATTTTATTCTCATGAACATGTTCATTACATTCGATGGCTTTGAACTCTCGTCAGAGCAGCGACAAATGACGCTTAATGGCAAATGGCAACTATTAATGTACCAGTTTACCAGCTTTACATTTGTTTACTTCGTCTCTGACGAACGGCGTTATGTTTGGTTATTATATGCCATATATTAAATAACCGCCACCTGAGGCGATTTGGCGACTGACTTGAATGCATGTGGCCACCTGACCACCTGACCATGGGGATGGGGATCGCAGATTCGTTTCGGACTTGCAGCTTATGCAAGTGCAATGCGCCGACGCAAGTCCCAATGGTACAATATAAATAGTCGACGAGGCAGATACCTAGCATTGGATTTTCTTAAAGATAATATGAATTTTAAATTATATAGATTAAAAGAACTTATATTTAGTTTAATTTTTAAGAACAAAGAAAGTTATATATTTTCCTTTTTAAAATAATTGTAAAATTTAAAAATATAAATTATCATAACTTAACAACCAGCAATTACTGATAATTAAAGTCAGTTTGATATATACATATATATATCTAACAATCTATGGTCCCGTCTTTCCCCTGTAAAAATTTGGTAACTTATTGACTCATTAAATCTAATAAATCGCTCATATTTGTTATTAATTATGCACTTTTGATGGTTAATGTTAACCAATTCCCTTGTTGGTGCGCTCAAAAAGCGACACACACAATTAATTTGATACAATTTCACATGATTACAGATCACATTTCACCATCATAACTCTCTATATATAGTTACCAGATGTCCTGCTCCATTAATTTATGTTTCTTATACCAATAAATCATTGCGCGAAAATTTGACAACATACTGAGGTAACTGGTCGCCTTGGGAAATTCAATCGAGTTTAAGGTATCGACTGTCTTCGTCGATGAAAATCTAGTTAATCAGGCTGACTAACGGAAAAGAGCCCCCCTCTTTAATCCCCCTGCGTAAATAAAATACGAAAAATATAAAACAAGTCCGCCGAATCGAGTTAGATACTTCACATATTCAATTGTGCAAAGTTTTCACTTTGAACATTCATTTGCCATTTATAAAAAACCAAAGCTATGCGTAATTTTCAATTGGATTCGTTGTGATTCCATGGCTTAGACATATATGATGAGCATATATGAGGTATGAATTGATAATAATGGATGCCGCTGATAGAACCTGTAACAGAGAGAATCATCTGTTCCTGGTATTCCATCCGCTAATTAGTCTGGCAAAGCAAAACTGGCTAAGTTTTGGTTTAGCAAGTATTTTTTTGTTTGTTTTTTTTTTTAACCACAATATTCCATGAGGCTCATGTGTTTTATGGCCAAGGCTGTTTAACATTTTTCCGTAGATTCGTGGGGGTAAGGTTAAAAACAAAGATGCCCTCGATCTATTAGCCAGCTTGGCTATTGTAACAAATATATAATTTCGAGGTGTGTGTATGTGTGAATCAGCGATGGAGTGTCAGATATCACACACATAGCAGAGTTCAAGACACTAGTTACAGTTGCAACTATCTATTATTATAAAACGAAAACTTTTAGAGCTTCACTTTTTTAAGATTAAGATTTTAATATAAAAAAACATTTTTACTTAAACTTTTTTTTACCGAATTACAGAACTACATGGAAAAGGACTTGGGCAAGGTGGTTTTGTACACCACCAGCATGGGAATAATCAGGGACACTTATGCCAAATGCGCCAATGTCAAACAGATCCTGCGTACATTGCTAATTAAATTCGAGGAACGGGATGTTTTCATGAGCGTGGAATACCAGCAGGAAATACGAGAGCGGATGCACGACGAGACCATCCGGGTGCCACAACTCTTCGTCGAGGGTCAGCACATCGGGGTAAAATATTTTCAATAGTCAATTTTAATTTCAATAACTCAGCTAATTATGAAAATAATTATTCTACAGGATGCCGAAATTGTAGAACGACTGAATGAAAGTGGCGAATTGCGACAATTATTAAAGCCGTATAAAGTAAGAAAATATATTAAATATATTAATAGTTATGTTAATCTCTTCTTTTTACCCTCAAATTGGTTTTGCCGTAAAAAAAATTTGCATTTTTTTTTGTTCTAAATTTTCGCCTCAATGAATATGTACTTAATAATAATTCGTTTTTTTTTTTTTTTAAATAAATTTTCCAGTCGATTTCCACTGCATATACGTGCCAGACGTGCGGCGGATACCGGCTGCTGCCATGTCCTTCGTGCAGCGGATCGAAGAAGTCGGTGCACCGGAACCACTTTACGGCGGAGTTTGTAGCATTAAAGTGCATGAACTGCGACGAAGTCGGGCTGGTCAAGTGCCCCAACTGCTGAAGAAGACGCATCTCCCGTTTTTCTATCTGTAGTGCTTTTTTTTTTTATATCTATATTGAAGAGATTTTTTTTTTGCGCAATTCTTGTAGTCGCTTATTATTAACAGTTGTGATATTTGACAGAGCAGTTTGGTAGCCAGAAACGAATGGCCCGAACGATAGCAAAACAGAAAAGGAATCGAATGGAAATGACACACATACACACACACACACCCACACAACACAAACACACACACAAAATCGAAACAACCTATTCATATGTGAATCGAAGAGATATTAAATAAAATCTAAACTAAACTTTCTTGGATGTTTGATGTAAAAATTAATTTTATTTATATTATTAGTATTACTAAAAATGATTTTCGAAAAAGTAATGCCCGTAAATTCGCTATAGCTTCTAGTTCCGACCTATTTTTCATTAAAAAAAATGCCAATAGATTTGCAATCAAAATGTAAATTTTATGGTGTTGCCCTTCTGTGGGGCCCATCCTGATTGTCACCTAATAAGCAGTATTTTTTCCATAACTTTGCCAACAATGGTCGGAATATGGAATGTTATACCTTGTTGAACTCTTAATTGAAAATCTATTATATTGCATGCAAAGTAAATAAGTACATTTTTCGCAAAAATTTGGCAATGTGTACTTTAGTTTCGGGCGTTAGCTGCACAAAACAATCACTATTTTAGTTGTGCGCATCGTTTTGATAAAGTTAGAGCTAAGCAACGGCAACAAGGCCGTGCTCTGCTGTCAAAAAACGTAGCATAACTTTGGGCCCAAAAAAAATCAGGTTTTTTGCCACAGGTAAGCCAAATATGGCCCAAATGGGGAATGTAATACCTCGTAGGGCTCGTAACTTGATTGCTAAGATTCCCAATTGGTTTGCATTCAAATCTGTGAAACTTCATTTTTGGCCCATTTTTGAAAATTTTGATGATGGTACCCCTTATCAAAAATGCGAAATTTGGGCCAAAATTGATTTCCTCAAAATCGAAAAACGAGTGATAGGGGTGGTAAGTATTGGTCGTTAGCAGCACAAAACAGTCGTTCTTTTGGCTGTGCGTCTTGTTTTGGCCGAACTAGAGCTAAAAACCCCAATAAAAGTTGCAAATTTCTCAAAAAATCGGTTTCCTGATTTTTCAGCCCTTAAAACAGAGCTCGCACCGAAAAAGCAGAACAATAATGATAAAAGCAAGTATAGGATTGTTAAGAGTCGGTAGTTAGCTGTATAAAACAGTCATTGTTTTAGTGATGGGGCTTGTTTTGAGAAAGTTAAAGCTAAGAAACGGCAAGGAAACCGGAATCTCTGCTGCTAAAAGACTTAACATACTTTTCGGCATAAAAAAATCAGTTTTTTTGCAATACCAAAGCCAAAAATTGCCCAAACTAGGAATGTAATACCTCGTAGGGCTCGTAACTTAATGGCCATGATTCCCAATTGGTTTGCATTCAAATCTGGGAAACTTCATTTTGGGCCCATTTTTGAAAATTTTGATGATGGTACCCCTTATCAAAAATGCGAAATTTGGGCCAAAATTGACTTTCCCAAAATCGAAAAACTAGTGATAGGGGTTGTTAGTATTGGTCGTTAGCAGCACAAAACAGTCGTTCTTTTGGCTGTGCGTCTTGTTTTGACCGAGCTAGAGCTAAAAACCGAAAAGAATGTTGCGAATTTCTGTTAGAAATCGGTTTCCTGATATTTTAGACCATAAAAGAGAGCTCGCAGCAATAAATCAGAACAATAACTCAAAAACTAAGTATAGGGGTGTTAAGGTTCGAGAGTTAGCTGCATAAAACAGTCATTGCTTTACCCATGCGGCTTGTTTTGACAAAGTTAGAGCTAAGAAACGGCAACTAGGCCGTGCTCTCTGCTGTCAAAAGACGTAGCATAATGTCGGGCATAAAAAATCAGTTCTTTGGCCATAGTACAGCCAAAAATGGGCCAAACGAGGAATGTAATACCTCGTGGGGCTCGTAACCTAATGGCCATGATTCCCAATTGGTTTGCATTCAAATCTGGGAAACTTCATTTTGGGCCCATTTTTGAAAATTTTGATGATGGTACCCCTTATCAAAAATGCGAAATTTGGGTCAAAATTGATTTCCTCAAAATCGAAAAACGAGTGATAGGGGTGGTAAGTGTTGGTCGTTAGCAGCACAAAACACTCGTTCTTTTGGCTGTGCGTCTTGTTTTGACCGAGCTAGAGCTAAAAACCGAAAAGAATGTTGCGAATTTCTGTTAAAAATCGGTTTCCTGATATTTTAGCCCATAAAACAGAGCTCGCACAAAAAAATCAGAACAATTACGCTAAAAGTAAGTATAGGGGTGTTAAGATTCGGTCGTTAGCTGCATAAAACAGTCATTGCTTTACCCATGCGGCTTGTTTTGACAAAGTTACAGCTAAGAAACTGCAAAAACACCGTCATCTCTGCTGTCAACCAACGTATACGTATTTTGGACGCAAAAAAATCAGTTTTTTGTCCATAGCACAGCCAAAAATGGTCCAAATGAGGAGTGTAATACCTCGTAGGGTACGTAACTGGATTGCCATGATTCCCAATTGGTTTCCATTCAAATCTGGGAAACTTAATTTTTGGCCCATTTTTGAAAATTTTGATGGTACCCCTTACCAAAAATGCGAAATTTGGGCCAAAATTGATTTTCCCAAAATCGAAATTCTAGTGATATGGGTAGTTAGTGTTGGTCGTTAGCAGCACATAACAGTTGTTCTTTTGGCTGTGCGTCTTGTTTTGACCGAGCTAGAGCTAAAAAACCGAAAAGAATGTTGCGAATTTCTGTTAAAATAGTTGTCCTGATATTTCAGCCATTTCTCACTGAAAAATCAGAAGAATTATGAGAAAAGCAAGTATAGGGGATTAAAGTTTTGCTTGTAAGCTGCATAAAACAGTCACTGTTTTATCCGTAAGTCTTGTTTTGACAAAATTAGAGCTAAGAAACGGAAAAAAAACTGGACTCTCTGCTGTCAAAAGTTCCTAATTTTAACCACATAAAAATATCCCTAATTTCTCTCAAAAGGCGTAATTTTAGCCGCTATGGAGTACAAAGTTCGTTACTTTATATTAAAAAGCTCGCACTGTTAAAGAAACTCTTTACATGTAGCTAATATTGGCGCCCCGCAATGGTATGCAATAAGTTTATAAAATTTTAATTAAAGTCCCTCGCTGAAAAGTCGGCAACGCAATGTTATTAACAAACGCAATACAATAAAAATAATTTAAAATTGTAAGGGACATAAGAAAAAATATAAAAGATTTAAATAATATTAATAAGTAGTCTATGTAATATGTAATATCCATCATAGTTCCTACGATTTTACTGTCAACGAGACTTTATACCTTAGCACCCGCTCTCTGTCATTTAGTTCAGTCCTTATTTTCCTACGCATTCGAGAGGTGCTTTTAGTATCGTTTTAATATAAGATAAAATTATACAAAATTCGTTGTGTGTGTTTGGGTATTGCCTCCCGTTCGGCCTATCATTTTTCGATCCGGTTGTTTGTGAAATTTCGGGATACTATGAATACCAATATAGAGTCGTCGGCACGTCAACCTGATCTGCATCCTGATTCTGATTTAGAACATTTGTCGTCGGCTCGAGCCAATGCCGGATCGGAGGGATCTGAGCCATCGGGCGTGAGAACGGAGCGTTCCTGTTGGATATGTTATGCAACCGACGAGGACAACATACATGCTAAATGGGTGCAGCCGTGCAGCTGCCGTGGGTCCACCAAATGGGTTCATCAGAGTTGTCTGAACCGTTGGATCGACGAGAAACAACGTGGCAATCTCAGACGAACGGTGATGTGCCAGCAATGCCGTACAGAGTACATTATCGTTTTTCCCCCAATGAATCCGATATCCCAAATCCTGGACACAATTGATGTTGCAATAAGAAAAATTTGCCCCTACTTGGCATTCGGAATGCTCATATTCTGGATCTATTGGACTGCCATCGCATTTGGAGCAATTACCGTTGTCCAGGTGTTTGGCCATCAACGTGGCCTTAAACTGATGGAGAATGAGTTATTTATGGTGGTGGGTCTACCATTTATCCCAATTGGTTTAGTCATCTCTCAGATGATTCGCTGGGAGGATGCTATACTGAAGTTTATACGCAGCAAGTACAACATTCTAAAAAAGTTGCCATTCTTTAAAAGGGCTGACGGATCGGAGACAGAGAATGTGGGCGATCAAACTGATAGTTCGATCAGTCAGCCATATTTTCAAAATAATCCGCCAATGAGCGAACCTGTCTTCATCTCACGCCTCATTTGCGGAGCCGTATTTCTACCCACTTTGGCCAGCTCTGTGGGTAAGCTGTTCTTCAAGTGCCTGGAGGATCCATTTCATCGCGCCATCGTTGGAGGAATCACCTATATTGGTATTAAGGGAATCCTAACGATCTATATTAAGCAGAAGCACTACATCCGCCGCCAACAACGTCGCATTGTCGATCATACCGAAGAAAATGTAAGGAAATATATGGATGGCCAGACCAGGGAAGCACCTGCCCAGGATGCCCAGCCCGATGACAATTATAATCCCGGAAATGAAAGAGAATTTGCTGGATATGATGAGGTCATCGCGGATATCGCTAATGTAGTTAACTCGACCCTTGAAGCTGGTGACTACGATAGCGAGAACCATCACAACGAAGATTAAGCATATGTCTTTTTATTTACGAAAATATATTATAGTTTAAATCCAGAATGAAGATAAAGGAAAAGTTGTAAACTCATTAAAATCAGATGCTCAAGCATTATGCAGTTTTTTTTTAAGGAGAAATATATATAAATTCATTTCACATAAACTAAAAGTTGTTTTTTCTTTTATTATTTGGTAAACCAAAAAATATAAATAAACTATATAAAATTAGTTGGGTACCTTTAGATTTTTTTTCCCTTCGAGTAGAACTGTGGTTTGCGGCAGTTTCTGTCCCTGTATGGACGGTAGGTAACATCGACACAACAGCGATAGGTGTTCCAGATCTTGTTTGGCACAAACTGAAGACTGTCCATAAATATTTGGGCGTGGGCATGTAGGCTGTGCAGGAATCTCTTGAAGGTCTCATATGTTAGTTCACGAAATCGAGAACATTTATAGTCATGATGATGCGGTACGCCCAAGCAGTAGATCCAATACCGCTCCGGTATCTTATGGCGTTGCCATTCGTCCAAATGCATTTTAACATACTTATCTTGCGACTTTTGTCCATCGACCACGATCGCTTGACTTACCATGGTACCCTGCCAGAGCCAGCGACAAACCTATGGCAAAAGGAATAAATATTGAAATACGTGATTACAAAATTATCAGTCATTAACTCACCTCTGGCAATTGGCCAATCTCACCGATGCGATCGTTTTCCGGTACATTGCAAATGGATCGACGTAACCAAGGCGACAGAATTCCAAAGCGGACCGCGCTCATAACCTTAACCGCATGTTTCTTTCGCTCATTCCATGCAAAATCTAACCAATAAAAGGCGGCAAAGAAGATCTCATCCTCGCTATTCACACACAGCATATCATTAGAGAGCATACAGGTCACTTCATTAACATTGAACTCTAGGAACTCCCAAGAAGCCACCAATGGCAGGAAGCATTTACGTATTCGCCCAAACATTACGGTCATAATCTCCGAACATCGGAGTTCTTTAGCCAAAAGATATATGTGAAATGCAGTCATCTCCCAAATGGCGAGTTCACCTTTTCTCGAAAAGGCTGTCCAATATTGTTCCATTAAGTCCTCAATACCAAGAAATTTTGCGGCAGAAAATATTGAAATAGCTTCAGGGCCCGCGGGAAAGGGTTTTCCTTCGCACAACATCCATTCGTACAGTTTAGCGATCTGACTGATCTGAACTTTTTGTACTGGTAACTGCAAAAAAGAACCCGTACAGCCACGGAAATTGACGGCGTAATATGTAAACAGATAGCGATCAACATAATAGAAATTCGATTCGATTTGGATCTCTAGGTCATTGTGTAAATAACGTTTCATCGTTTCCCACATAGCCTCATTGTTAGCTATTTTTACTGGTACATAGAACTTAGAACCCGCCATACTTTGCTTTTTTTTTGTTATGGTCATGGCACAGCTTTCATTTAGTTTAACGTTTTTTGACTTCCAAACCATCTCAAAATGGTGTGCGGTATATTTATGAGAGAGCATTGGATCCGGAACAGATGCAATTGACTTTGGACCCTCATCATTTTCGTCTACAGTTTCTTGGGAAAATATGGACTCTGTGCTTTCTGGTTTCTCCTTGGATTGGTGTAAAAAATCCTTGATACTAAAGGCTTTTTCAGTACAGCGTAGACGACGTTGTCTTGTTATTGTTAAAATATCTTCAAAATCTGTATCCAATGGAGTTGGGAACAGTTTCGGTGGCGGTGGACATGATGATTTCATAATCGAATTAACAACTGAACCGCCACTATTATCCGGAATGTTAAGTTTGTAACTATTGGGTATCGGTGAGTGTAATTGGGGATCGGCAGCCTTTAATAAAGTAGGTGCCAAGTTAGTTGGAACAATCTGGCGATTTATATAATCATTCCAACACCAAGAGGGTGTTAGCAATTTGTAAGGATCCTCTAGAGGACTCGGTTTCTTTTCGACATCTTTAATCGCTATCACCTTATTTTTCTTATTTTTCTTTGGCTTAAGCATAAACATTTTCTATTTTTCTTTTTTTGTTTTTTAATTTTTTAAATAATTCAACTAAGAAAACTCGATTAAAAAAAAAAGCATTTTTTAAAAGATATTCCAAGACCTACTTCCTTTTTGATATATATGCGAACATTTTGAGATTTTCAAATCATTTTTACTTTCTTATATCCTGTGTTTAAAAACACAAAGAAATCTTTTAAGGTAACATATTGTCCGTAGAAGATGTTCATTTTTGTTATATTATATTAAATTTAGTATTTTACCATTTTCAAGTTACAACTTTGCTATTTGTTACGTAAGGCAGCAGGCATTGAATTAAACTTTTTGGCTCACCGGACTTGTCATTCCTACATTCAGAGCATTATCACACAGCTCGTTCAACGTTTCGGTCGACACATTCTCGCACCAAACTGAAACAATATATTCGTAAAAACCAGAACAAATTCAAATTGTAAATTTTATCCTGTCCCATCTTAAAAAGTTTTTACGTTCCCTTTCGATGAAATTTCGTTACAAATTCTTAACCAACTAAGATCCGGAGCCGCACAGCGCGAGGAATCCGCAACTTGCTTAGAAAGCAGACAAAAACCCAAAGTAAGTTTAAGTTGCAGACCATTTTGTTTGGCTTACGAAAGCAAACGAGTAGTTACAGGAAGAAAGCAGTGGTGCTCATAAAGCCTAAAGCAAGATTAAACCTTAAGCAGCAGCGAGCTAAGTTCATGAATTAGAAAAGTTTACCATCTATACGGTTCCTAGTTTGGAAGTTGGAAGTTAACCACCAAGCAAGAAAAAGCTTTTCAAATATATTTAATATATATATAGCGAAACTTAACTAAATCAGGATGTCGGACAACTCGGGTGTGAGCACTGTGCTCAACGTTCTTCTCTGTGGAGCAACCGGCTTTGGATTTTACAAGATTGGTCCTAGTGAGCATCCTTATGCCTTTACTGCCTGTGTAATTGGATTCTGTCATGGACTCTGCGGCTTGGTTAGCAGTCTTACCGGCGATGATAATGCCAAGAAGGTAAAGGAAACGACCACCAACATCATGGATATCATACCACTGGCGCTGGTCAATGTGGATCTGTATTTGGCCGCCGAGAGTAATAATATTGCTTTGGGCCATGGACTTTTCATAGTGCCACTGGCTGTTACCGTGATCTTGGATTTCTTCAAGGGCGAAAGTAGCGATGATGGTGAGGGCAGTGTCATGGATACATTGAAAACCCTCACGATTTTGGGTAACATAACATCGCTAGTTTATCTATCGATTAACGAGAACAGCTGGAATCTGGGCGGCATGGCTTTCCTGGCTTTCATGGCCAAATTTGGAGCCAAGTTCTGCGAGGAGCAGATCAGCGAGGGCAGCGGAGAGCCGGTAACTTATTTAAGTTATTCGGGCTTTTACTTTCTTACCGCTCTGGCTGTTTCCGGCGAGAAGTAGATGGCGCCACCAGAGATCCTGGCCACCAGCAACAGCATATTTCATCGCCGGATCTCATGCAACTTTTTTTTTTCCTCCAAAACTTTCTGCCATTGCTTTTTCTGAACTCCAACTTTATTCGACCTTGGACGAGCAGAGTGATGAATAAATTATGGCAGCGTTAAGTTTGCTGCAACTCGTTAATTTTAAAAACCTTTTGGCTTCCATATTTAAGAAATATATGCATTTTGAAGTTGGAAGATTATTTGATCTTTTGATTGTATATTGGGAGTTGGCCGTGTTGAGCACTTTTATGTACTCTTTCTAATGGTTACCAAAATCGGTATAAATGCTAAATTAAAAGTTCCAAACGAAGGATTTTATTTCTGACTTACGTTGCCAGCATAACCTGATGAGCACTCAACATGCGTAAAAGAGAGACCACTTTTAATTGTCAATAATTTAATTGTTATGGTATTGCATTCCGCTCAAATCGATTCAATTCTGGCCAAGGTATTAGGCAACCAAAATCCCATTGGGCACACCCAGGGCTTGTCCGTCGGCGCCCTTCCTCCCCGTTGAAAGTACATAAAACCTACATAAAAAGCAACGACACAAACTACGTTGACAATAAGAACTAATAAATTTTAATACCTAATGTCAACAAATCGCCGGTAAGTAGGGGCACGCACAATTCAAACAGTGGAGCTCGGCTACCAGGGCAGCCTCCCCTTGTCTTAGGCCAAAATAAAAGCAGAAAGCAAAAAGCGTGCTCAATGAGCATGACAGCCCACAAAAAAAAAACAAAACAAAACAAAATAAATCGAAAGAAAAAAATGAAGACAAAAAAAAAAAATGAAGAAAAAAATATAATAAAAGTTGTTGTACATTTTTGGGCCGTGTCTTGTTCATTGTTATTTTTATGACTTAGTGCCAATGGGTTTTCGGTTTTCAGTTTTCAGTTTTCAGTTTTTTGGGGTGGCGTTCGATATGAAGTTACGTGCTAATTTTCTGTCCGACGATCACTGACGAAATCGAAACTGAAACTTGAAAACTGAAAACTAAAAAAAACTACAAACTGAAAAATCCGAGCGAGAACTGGTTGTTACAGAAATATTTGTGTTATCGCCGGTAATTAGCTGGCATTGTCTGTTTTTCTACCGCTTTTACCCGCTCTTAAAGCCGTGGCATTGGGCAAGTTTTAGAGATCATGGACCATTTTGGGGACTTTGCTATCTGCCGATCACATCCGCTTGCTAAGAATCAAATTGGTTACAGAAGAGGAACACCCTAGATCTACATACATAAAGTGTCTTCAAATTTAGACATAGATTTTTTAATAAGTAAAGTCAAGCCTTATTAATAAATAAAGTAGTTATCATTTTTTAGAATAAGAATTCCTTAGTTATGTATAATTTAAAGTTTAATAACTTATTTAATATTTATTTATTTTTTTTTTTAATTTGCATTATCTGCAAAGGTCTTGTGACTCATTTTCTGTTCTGTTTCTTTTTGTATCCAAAAATCTATTTAAAATAATGAGAATTGAAGTGCCATGAAATGGAGTGGAGATATGGGCAGTAAGTTGATTGGTTTTTGTGTCCGCATATGTAGATCGATCGATTGGTGGGCTGCTCTGGGGGAAATTAGATTTATTACACCAGGCGATGATTAAGGGAATTTGTGGCAAGTGGCAAGTGGCACTCCAGATGAGCCAGTGGCCCCTTCAGCGGCTCCACATGCCAGACTAAAGCACTGAACAAATTCTCATTTAGAATATATTAGTTAAATATAATTTAAAAAAAAAATTATATTTTAACAAAAAAAAAAATGTATTTTTAAAGCCCCTAAATTTTGAATTTTAAAATCACAAAAAAATATTTGCAATATTTAATTCTTTCCCAAAAGAAAAAAAAAAGAAGTTCATATTTTTGCCAAAGTGTATCCGCACTCCTTTGTCGTGTTTCCCACAGCATCGGAGCTTGAATCTGAACCAAGATCAAAATCAAAATCAGCCTCAGACATCGGCTATATTAATCTCTTGTTATTGTTGTGGTCTAAACAGGCGACCGAGATGATTAATCGCTTTTTGGCAGCCAAAATACTTCGAGTGGCGCAGCCATTGGGCCTGTCCATCAGTCAGTATCGGTTCAGTGGGCCTCTTTTTTTTTGATAATATTTATAGCACTGCCTCCCCCCGATCATATCGATGTCCAGACCATTTCGAAACTCCCTAACCCTTATGGCCCTTATCGCACCTGCTGTATATATATATAGTTATAGCTGTCAACGCCCTTTTGAGTCCAAAAATTATCTATATTGCATTCTATATATAGTAAATTAGTAGTAGTAGTAGTAGTCAAACGCCTAAGAGTCTCACCCCGGTCGAAACCTTAAACCTTAAATGGTTTTAACTAAACAGAGAGTCAGTAGTTAGTTAGTTGTTTTATACATAATCTTAGTTACTTAACAGAGGTAATATTTTTTATAACCATATACTTTAAGTTGTAGTTTCTTGATAAGAAACACTTTTCCCATAAAGCATATATCTTATCATCTATGCTCCAGTTGAAGAATTCACTTTTTGGAGCCCAGGCGGAATTTTCAATTTGACAAAATGAATAATATTTATGGACTCACCAGGGAGTAAACAATTAACTGCATATAGTATCATTGTTTATATTTTATCCACGCTTTCCAGTTACTTAATAATGCATAATGGTTGGGGCAATTAAATATTTTATTTGTGCCATCGATTTGGCCGCCTTTTCGAACTCCAATCGATAGCTTGCTCTTTTTAGTTGCCAATTCTTTAAAGTGGCTGCAGAGAGAGAAAAATTTAAGAAAATTTATATATATATATAATATTTTAAATCTGAACAATAAATAAAAATCAAATATATATATAAAAATAATAACCGTTATTCATAATATTTACCAGCTTATCTGATCACATAACAATTTTCATGTCATTATGCCACCAATAACAACCACTTTTTGGTGCGGAAAAATTTAGTTAATGACCGATTTTGGTGATATATATTTATATGTTTGATATATATTTTTGCACTGTGTGCGCCTGGATACATATATAGGTGTATATATATATATATATATATATATGTTCAAAGCAGACATACATATTTTATAGGCCGCCCGAGGGGAAAATTGGCCAGGTACGAGGTATTAGCATTAGCATTCATCGGGCATTCAGGTTTTCGCCGGAGTCAAAGCCGGAGCAAAGAATGCCGGCCTCCCCCGCCGGCCACCGTCAGCCCCCCCCGATTGCCCCCTTTTGTCAAGTTAACAGGGTCTTGGTATGCGAGAATGCTGGAACTTTTGGAATTAGAATGTAAAGTGAAAGGAGTTCTACGGGTTAATGCCATAGCATGCCAAAAGACGACGACGTCTGACTACATCTTTGGGTTCTTCTTGCCAGTGCTGCTGCTTCTTCTTCTTCTTCTTCTTCGTCGTCGTCGTCGTGGTAGTCTTTCTTTCTTTCTTCTGCGACGTTTTAATGAATGAGGAATGACTGCATGAAAATTACCTCAGCACGATATGTTCAAGAAAGAGTATATATATATGAGATATGGGATATATGATATGAGATATAGCTTTTTATTGCAGAAATACCCGCAGAGAGAGAGAGAGAGAGACTAAAGCCAAAAGCTGACAGTGCAAATACTAGTAATATTACATATTGTGGCAAAGCTGGCAGGCAAATTAGCGCCAACCGGCTAAAAATCTGTTGGAATTTTTCATGGGGAACACGGATGTGAGTTCCGGAAATTTCAACGTTCATGAGAGACAAATTCTTTATATATTATTTAAATTATAAAAACATTTTCATATAAATAGGACACCTTTTTAACTTAACAATCCTCTCTACAATATATATATATTCATATCAAAGATCAACTTTGTTGTCCAAATATTATTATTTAAAGTTCTTATTTAATAGTCGAATATGTTATGGTTTTGTGGCATTTTTGCACAGACTAAGCCGATATATGTATATTTTGCCACATTTCAGCAAATCAAACAAATGCGACTTTAATCCCACACTTTTTTGAGGTAACTAAGAAATTGTATATAAAACAAGGAGCAGTTCCAAGCAATTTGAATCTGGCAGGCATTATATTGTATTGTTTAGGATCGCAAACTATGAGTTGCGGAAGAAGATTATTAAAACCCCGAAATAGTTTTTCGTGTAGGATTAGTAGTGGGGAATATTTTTAGGCGGACAGCCAGACAGAAACGAACTGACATGTCGAGGAGGTGGAATAGAGTGGGCGGGTTTGAATGGACAAAATGCTAAGAGATGGGTTGAAGATGTCGCCTGACAACCGAATACACAAAAAGAAAAAGACTCAAACTGTCGTAAATAACTTGAATTATTCTTAATTTTTAAACTAAAATATATTATTTGATTATTACATTTTAAATAATAATAATTATTTATCATTTTTAAACCTTAAAAATGTAAATTTAATTAGTATTTTTCTATGGTAAATAATATTGATTTTGATAAATAAAGTAAAGTCCTTTATTTTTTTATTCTTGAAACACTTTTTGATTTTTAGTAAAAATTCTGATATTTTTCCACAGTGCAGAGAGACCTCTTCGGTCTTTCTTCCGCATGTCTGAGTCTATTTTTAAGACAACTAATCGCCCAGAACGCTGAGACCGTCGCCAAAGGCCGCCAACGCAGTCGCAGTCGTTTTCCATTTTCCACTCTCCATTTTACAGCATACATTTTCCCATTGCTATGCCGATTCTGATTCTGTTTCTAATTCCTATTCCTATTCCTATCCAATTTTCCACTTTCCATTTGGCCCAAACTTCAAATCGTCAGTTGTTTAGCCGGGCGGGCAAATGTCTAGTTGCCATTGGATGGACATAAATTAATTGACATTTATGGGGACGATTTTCTTATCTCCTCGAGTGAAATTCCTCTACGAGGAAAAGCTAACATTGCCACGAAGTTTATTTTTACACTTGCATGGAATTTTATATTTGTCAGCAGGCGACATCTCATAGATACACCTCTCAATGACTTTTTCCCCATTTCAAAAACGGTCTATTTTATTTTTATACTGCCAAATATTTTTACGAAAACGGGGCTACATTTTTCCCTCTTTCTTTTTGTTTATACCAGATATATGCTGATGGCGCCTATGTGTTAAGTGATTTTTAATTCATCTTCATATAAAATATGTTTTTTATATTAATTAAACATAAATAAAATTAATAAATAATT